CATAGTTTCGTGTGACTTTACGAAACCTTTAAAGTTCGGTACAGTATCGTAAAAAGGTTTAGAATTCGTTTCAAAATTCGAAACCTTTTTAGGTTCGGTAAAGTACCTTTTTTTTTCAGTGCATGCTACGTGAGATGAGAGGCAATAATCTATTTTTTTTAAACGAAAACAAGATAGTTCAGTGATTATTAATGAAGTCTTTCAACTTGAGAGAATTAACTAATTAAATTCAGATCATTTGTTTAGATAATATGCTGCTGTTCAAGTTTCATTCTCAAATTCAAATGATGATATAGAGTGTCGGAAATAAGATTCTAATGTCTCTATAGAAAAAATATCAAAAATTGTGAAAATTTAATGAATTAGAAAAGGTAACTTTTTAAATAGCAGGGAGTAAATCTTTATTTTATGAAAGAAGGTGCCAATTTATATTTAAAAGAGCTCAAGTTTTTTATATAGAATGAAATTTTTGTTTTTAACTACTATTTACTTCGATATGAATTATGGGTGATCATAGTTTTTTGTCAGAAATTTAGCTGCGCTGATAAAAATAGTACTTATATGTGAATTTTTTTACATTTACAGAGACGTGAAAGCCATGATTAATCAATTTCGTCTTATATCTATAAAAATTTGCTGACTATATTTAATTCTTCAAATATAGAAACTAATATAAGACAAACTCTCTCCGTTAATAGCTATAACATAGTGGATAACTGACAATTCTCTTTACAATGAATATTGGTTGTCTCAATAGAGAGCTTTTCTCCTTAATTGTATCGAAAAAAATATCTATGTTACAATAATTTTACTAGTTTCAACATAATTATGTCACTGCTTTTGAATATACTATTAGATAAAGAAATTTATTGAGATGAAAATAGTTGAGTTAAACAAGACGATTGCGTTGAATGTTTAATTGATCATGATATTAGCAGTAAAAACAAAATTATGCAATACAGCATATAAACAATTGTCTTTTTGCAATTTCTTCTACTTTTCTCCAATTCAACATGTTTTCGAAGTGCTCTTTACTCTTAATATAGTTTCGGTATTTTTTCCCTTCCTCGTTCACAATCTATGGATAGCTATCGTTTTAAAATTAGATATTCTAAATCAGACCAATTAATCTGCAAAAATAGTATGTTTAATATCTCTAAAAGTGACATTAGCGGTGGAAAATGTTCAAATGCTGGACTTCATGTTTATGACGAAGAGATAAAAGTAAGTATATCTCTAAATAGTTGAACTAAGAAACGAGAAAATAAACGGGAACAAAATAGCATAAATTAATGTTTTTTGAAAAAAATACTGCGGTCGGTCATTATGAATGTACAATCTTGCCAGCCAGTCTTAGAAGCAATACGGTAAAAAAAAGTCTTTTAAGTTTTATCGAACTCGTAATGAAAATAAATTGGTAAAATCATCTAATTTGGAAGTAGGAGAAAGATTTTTCGAGATCTTTTCGTAGGAGAGAAATCAGAGAACGTCAGTGAGCATGTAGATGCTAGATTCGATCAGAAAGCTTTCAAAATTTGTCAGAATTACAAAAGATTTCGATTTGAAGAACAAAAGAATAGTGTAGGAATTGATCATTTTATCCGCATATAATCTGATTTCATCTATTACTGGATAGGACTGCAATACTATAATCCTAAGTAGGAAAAGATCCATTTGACTAGTGAATCAATTATGAGATAACATAAAAAATCTTTGAGTTTTGAATTTTCTCTCACGCTATTAGATAATTTGGGGAATCGATCGTTTTCCAAAAGTCGAAAAAACTTAATTTTTGTTTTTCTCAATTTAACAATACTTAATTGTAGTTCTCTTCGAATCTGGAGAAAAGTTGTCTTCAATTCAGAGGGTGTGGGTGTGGGTGTCCGTTCGTTCGTCCAATAGGAAAGCATATGCATAAACTTGACTGGCCTCAAACAATATCTGAATGGATCAGTTTGATCGAAGGTTTTCGGGGTCAGGGAACTCGAATCCGGCGTCAGAATTTCAAAAAATTTGAATCCTCAATTATTTTAGTAAAACAGAATTTTTTTGAGGAAAAAATAGTTTTTTTTATAAGGGTTGACTGAAGGTACTCGGGGTTGGGGAACAGAATGGCATTGTTAGTTTTTGAAATTTTGTAGTTCAAACAAGTTGATAATGCATTAGGAGTTGGTTAGATCGTCTCATTTTCGTGATAGAAATTCTTTGTATGGAAATTTTTTAAGCGTACTCTTCGATGATGTTTATAGCGTTGGATGTATCGTATGATTATGTGAGACCTTATTACGAATAAGTTATATGTATCTTGCGGTGGAATTGATTCTCAATTTGGCAACGACTAGCCGCTCACCTGCACTAAGACGTTGAAGACTTTTTGTTTCAGAGCCTTCAGTTTATTCTTGATATGTCAACTTTCATTGTAGCACGAAGAATTTATTCAAACTTAACACCTAGAATTCTAGATTAGCGCATCTACGAACGGACTCGAATTGGATAAGTACTCGGGAATCTTGTCTCATTCTTCTCTAAATGGTGAGGAATTTATCACATATGTAGATGAAACTGGATTAAATTATGAATTATTAGTTTATTCTTCATCTTCATCTTCATCTTCATTTTCATTGTCGTCGTCATCATCATTATCTTCATCCGATGATTTTGATTTACTTGCAGATTTTTTACTTGCTGGTGCTTTTGCTGCAGCTTTACCTCCTTTAGCAGAGCTAACATCATCACCACCTTTCTTGTATTCAACATGGCATACTTCATATTTTTGCTTTTCAACAGCAGCCTTTTGTGCATAACGTTTTGTGGAATCATCACTAACTTTTTTCCACCTTAAACCTATTTCTTTCGAAATATCACAACCGACAATGATGGACTTTCCTTCTTGATGTCTGGTCGTTCATCTTGTGCAAAAATAAAGAATGCAGACAATGTTCGTTTTGGTGCATTTGGATCTTTGCCTGTTTTTTTTGATGCTCCGGCGTTGTGTGGCATTATTTCTTCTTATTAGATAGCGAAACAAAGAAAAATGTAAGAATCTCTTGATAAGTTGTAATAAGGGTGGGTGTGGTTGAGTTAAGAATACAGTCACATCCACACACCCACACCCATAAATCAGCGGTATTTATGGCTTGGGACCTTATTCCTTCACTATTATATTGGTCGTATTATGGACTATGTAGCCTGAAAAAGTTTTCAACATTACATGCGTTTTGGATGTTTTAGTAGGTGAAAGGTTTTTTCCGAGTGCACATAATTTCAAGACACGTTTTAGTATTTCATATTCATTGGCCGAGAAATTTCAGTTTAGAACAGTAAAAGAAACGTCAGTCGATGTAGAATTTTATGCTTTACACTTTGGGAAAAGTTATCGTTCATCAATAGACTGTTGTTTTAAGATTTCCATTAAGATTGTGTTTTTTTAATGGCAGCGAAAAATGTGAGGGTGTGGGTGTCGATGTCCTGGACACCCACACCCACACTTTTTTTCATGCACATCACAAAAATAAATTAATATTAACCGCATCTCATCGCGTTTCCTATTGAAATCGCGTTTATACGCAGTTAATAACGTTCGACTGAACGCGTTTGAGCACGTTTTCAAAAAAATATGAAACGCGTTTGAAAGCGCTTTTGTTAAAAATCGCTTTGGCATGCGATTAATGATATCATATTCTTTATAAGATATGAAATATAAGTGAATAGATCAAGTTAAGCCCCCCCCACCCCCACCCTAAAAAGTCGATTTTGGTCAAAATTTTCGATTTTTTAAAAATTATTGCATCTGATAGAGAAAAGTTTTCTCTATCGAATGAACTATAGTTTATGGGGTTTGTGACAAGTTTTGATGGAGAAACTCTGGTTTTTCTGAAACCTGGTTTTCTGGAGAAATTTTGATTTTGTGAAAATTTTGATTTTTTACAGTAGTAATATTGTCTAATCAGTAAGAATCGCTACTTACAAGTATAATATACATATAGTTACTCGCGAACGTATATATAAACGACAGAATGAAATAAAAATATCGACCATTTACATCTAACTAAATTTTTCATTGGAGATTCAACGTGGGAGTTTCGTATTGCTTATTCATAAATATAAACTTACATAATTTTAAATACAGAATAATTTATCGGTGATATAAAACCTTGCACAGTTAACTATCTAAAGTACATTAATTGGCCAAACTACTCCATTTTATTTGTAAGTGATTGCTAATTTCGAAAGTTATATGATGTGTTTATATAGCTTGTTGTAAAATTAGATTTCAATGGGTCGAAGGAGGATCTCTTAAAAAAAGAAGAGTCAGATATTAGATAATGATACAAACAGTGACTATGAACCTGGAGGTGACGAATAACTCTTTATACTTATCATCATTTATCTCTAGTTTTATGTAAATCAGTAAATAAATCTATTCAAGATATTATCATACTGAATAGTAATAAAACATCTTCTCAACTATCTCGAATAGTTTCATTGTGTTTTCATTATTTGATGAAAAATTATTGACCTAAATTTCAGATAATGTAATTTGTATCAAAGCACAAGCAATAGCCACTTGACCATGCTCATAACAAGATCGAAAAAGACAAAAAAAAATTTTTTTTTAACATCTCTACCTATCGATTGAGTACCTCAGAACCTTTATGAATCATAGTAAATCTATGAAAAAGCTATCGCATCGCATATTATCGCAGAAACATTGTCAAATTTCACTTCACAAACTTATTTCGCGTTTTTCTCAAGATCGAATTTTTGCTCATAACGATTTCGCGTTTCCCAAATTTTTTGACTATTTTAAACGTTACAGAGCTCGGGTTGGTTTTAAAATGACCAGAAAACGTAGCTCTACAATTCAACAGAGCCAAAATCGCAAATATTGTTTATATTTTCTCGTGAGTGTCGAATATATAATGCTCCATGACACAAAATATCGTATCGTGTAACATACAAGCGAAGAAAAAATTTTCGCGAAAAAAAAACAAAAATTAGGCTCTCTTGAATTGTAGTCCTATGTCTTACGTATCTTTTAAAACAAACCCGAGCTCTCTAGCACTTCAGATAGCTGCAAAATTTGGGAAACGCCAACCCCACCATTTTGACCGGTAAATCGAAAATAAATCTTGACTGGGTTCATATTTTTCGATCAAATTTTTACTGCAATCTAGTTAGCATAGGATACAACTTTCCTGAAAATTTCAGCGAGATCGGACGTTCTGGAGCGAAAATAGAAATTAGGGTGGGGGGGGGCCTTAATTTAAAATAATAGAACTGAACGTTCTTACGGATAGAATAATGTGACTACATAAATTGCATCTACGTCCCATACAGNCGGTGCGAAAATAGAAATTAGGGTCGGGGGGGGGGCCTTAAATTGGTACAGAAATTTTGTTTTATTAGAGTCGCTGTAAGCGATAAATCCTTGCATTATTTTGCCTTTATCTAAATTTAAGAAAAGAATATATGATAAATATTCAGATGAAAACTATTCATAGCGTACATAAACCCAGAAATAGATACCGTTAAAATTATTAAATCTGTATATTTGCTCACCATTCATTTAAATAAGGGCACTTTTATATATTGATATTTTACACTGCTTTGATGTTCGTGAGAGAGCTTTGTAAGAGTATCAGACGTATAGATTTGGTCACGTTCGACAGTAATGTGACAAGAAAATCTATAAAGTTTCTGTTCTATTTTATTTGTATATTATTTGGTATTTGTAGCTTTTATACATTACATTATTGCTATTTTACATACTAAGTTTTGGTGGTTTTCAAATTGAACGATTGAATCATATTAATGAAACTTATTTAAAGTTGCTAATACGGCGATTAGATTTTGGGGAAATAAATATTAGATTTTTCTTAGCTAAACTTTGCTATCAAAGTTCTTTATCTTTTTATGCATTATTTTGACGACTTCAAATGATCAGCATTAAATAGTTTCATAAATAAGTCTAGATCCTTTTTTCAATTGATATAGTCATTATTGAAAGTTCTCATTTCAGTTACATTGACAGTTATATTAAGAAAGAACAACGAGAATATATTTAATAGAATAAAGTACGCTGATATTAAACGTGGAACTCCAATAGTGCTGCCGGTGATTTTATATATAAAACATTGTTGCACATCCTCTCTTAAATGGAAAAGGTTGTCAAATGAAGTTGTTGAAATTAAAAAAAATATTGAATAAAAGTTAGTTTTGTGAAAATATGTTTTCTAGTAAATATGTATATTGATAATTAATAATTTCGTAAAAAATATATTTTTTCTTTTTTTCTACGTTTCTATGATAGAAATTCTATCATAACTATATTTGTAAATTTTATATGAATTCATAACCCTCATAGGCTTTGAATGCCACATTGTGGTCACATATGACTTCATTGCACGTATACATGCCTCTTAATCATTGGTTCATATGTTCTAATCTCATTTCTCTCATTTCAGATTCATCGATATGTCGATATGCAAACAGTTCGTTGACCTACAGTAAGGTAAAACCCATGCGATAGAGGATATCGATGGTGACTCAGATCAAACCTGAGACGAACTGGAATTTTTTCTTCATTTTTCATAAATTGTATGCAACGCGTCCCCAGGCTGTGGGTGTTAAATGAAGGTTCACACATACACAACCATCGATTGATGAGCGTTTTCCGTGTGATGAATGAAGAAGCAATGTTCCCAAAAAGTATTGCATCGTACCTATTGTCACCACAAACCCTCACTGATTATCATACCCAGACATGCATCGAGCCCATATTTTTGCTCGATGATCTCCATCGAAATTGTTACCATTGAATAGAGGAGGAATTTTTCTGTCTCACGCAATCTGTGGAACACCAATCACACAGATCATAGGTCAAATCGGGGTTGAAAATAATCGAGCATTGTGCTAACTTTACTATCATCTGCCATTCGTAGGCTCTTTCCTCAAATCAGATTTAATTATCAAACTAACCTGAAATTGAAGCTTTGGTTATAATTGATATTTTGTTTATAAGCAATGTAGATTCTTCCAAAATGGAAACATTCAGTGGTTGCTCTAGTTCTTTCTTCAATTCCTCTAACAACACTCTCAAGTTGTTTAAATGAATTTCATTGAAATCATCATCATCTCGCATTTTTCTCAAGTCAGTAATGAATTGATTTAATTTCTTCTTTATATCAGCGATATTATCATCTGTCGATTTAATTAATCTTTGTCTGCAGTCTGCTGCTGTTTGCTTAATTTTCCTGATTGAATCGCGCTCCCATTCATCCACTTGTTTTATTAATGAACAATGATTTAGATATTTTACTTGTTCACTAATATTTTGTTGGAATGCATCACAATCAGTGACAATTTTTTCTAGTTCTAATACATGTTCTTGATGATGTTTTGGTAAATCTTGCGAGCAAAATTTTTCTGAGCAACCGTCGCATGAGTATAAGTTGGATCTCCCTTTTTTACATATAAAGCATTGTTTGGAATTTATCGCTGCAGTTGCCATGTCTTGAATATACTACTGTTGATAGATGTATTTTTGAGACTGTCACCGAAGAGTTTGAAAAAAAGTGAATTTTTCTTATGATATCATACACATATATACAAAAAAAGTAACATGAGTCAAACTCAATAAACATCAGTGGGAAATAAGCGAATGAAAAAAAGATTTTTTCTGCATAGGGGTCGTACTTTATTTTTATTTTTTGCTTTATAATAAAGAATAAATCTAAATAAAATCTTTATCTTTATAACATTAAAATGACTACATCGTTTTGGTAGCTTACAAAAATATATGATACCACCCCAAGTCACTCCGTCCTGCCGGGGCCCATCGTAACCGGCACCGGATCACTCTAGAAGCCGGCATGTTTCCCACTAAAATCTGCCAGGATCCGACAGGGATTTTGCCGGAATCTCTGCTCCCAGAATCCGGGCCGGCATTCAAAGGAAAATGGTTCGGTCGTTCCCTGCCGGATAATACAACCGAACATTGTCGAGACCGATCAACCCCGACTACCGGAGGATTCTGGGTTCACAAGGGCTTCACCATATCTTTGACCGGATTCCATCAGATTACGATGACAAGGACCTCATAAAAAATCTCTCATACAAGCATTCTTCAATCAGAAAATGAATCAACTGTAGTCTTACAAAAACGCACACCGGCCGACACACCTACTCAGAAAGAAAAAAAGGTGTCATACTGAACCTTTTAGGATTCTAGATTTGGGTACCATTTTCAGAACCATTTAAAGTTCAAGCAAAATCTGATTCTAACTGGAACTTTTTTCTATTTCTTCCAAAAATGATTCTATAGCAGTAAAATGTAGTCCGCCACACTCAATTAGTCTAGTACACTAGACTAATGTTTTATCCAACCGTTAATTTCATACTTAATTCCTTATTCCTAACCTTAACCCTTACTTCTATCCTTAACCACTATTTCTATCCTTAACCTAAATTCTATCGCTAAATTCTATTATAACGTACCATAGAATTGATTATTAAGACACACCCACTCATATCCACCAATCCAACTGGGATCCTCAGGCTCGGTATCGATGATGCCGGATTCAGATTCCTGGATCTCGATAACCTATTTAAAACTTCCATCTGAATTGAGATCGGAGTTGAAATACAGTCTAATTTTACAGCCACGGAATTTTCGATGGACCTAATATCTGACCATTGGGAGTTCGGATCGAAAAAATGATAACCTTTTCGGAATCCTCGACCTCAATAACCTATTCAAGATTGATATTACTTAAATCACGTTCCGAAAATATAGTATCTTGCTTCAAGCCAGAACCATCGTTGGAAAAATGGTTCAGCGTTAAGAAAAATGGTGCAGGATGGGACCTTTTCAAACATCCGGAACTATTGAGGATCTGAGATGGTTCTTTAAATTAGCTAAAACCGTCGATGGCTCATTAATGAGCGAATGAAACCTTAAAAGGTTCAGTATCTTGGCTAGAACCATAAATAGTTCCATATGACACCTTATTTTTTTTCAGAGTAGAGATATTATATAATAAGAAATTGCGCGGGTAAACAATTAAAAATCTTGAGTTTACGGTGTTTACGCGACGAATGTTTTCAACACGCGTTTAAACGCTCAGAAAAGGCTATTTTCTGATATTTAAACCTGTGTTTGAGGACGTTTGTCTTTTGGAATACAGAGTATGAATAAAAATTATTCAATTAAATGTGATAATATCTCAGGTCGTAGAGGTATGGTGGGAAACGGCCGGAAAGCACGGTAAATCGCTGGAAAGTGGAAGCAGTATTCCGGCCAGAAATTAACGGATTTTTTCCTATGGATTCCGGTCAGTTTCCTGTGCTTTCTGGCTGGAAGATGACCGGAATACACCGGAAAAAATCCGTCAATTTCCGATCGGAATACTGCTTTCATTTTTCAACGCTTTCCGGGCAGATACGGTGATTTTTACCATATCTTTCCGGTCGGTTCATAGGGTATCCGTCCTCCGGACTCATTGACCTGGGATTGGATAATCAATAGACAAGAGCTACTCATGTTCTCACTTGTTTGTTTATGATCTATATCACTTTCTTTCTCTACAAAGCAAACAAAAAGAACGTTTTTAAAATTCTCTAATCACTTTATTTATAGAATCAAATGAGGATAATGGCACACTTTGCGCACAAAATGTGCAAACATTTCATTTCAGATTTTAATTATATACGCTGCATCAAATGAATTGAAAAGGTAAAAGTAGTTCGATCAAGTCGATTAGTATTTTCCAAATACGCTTCACTACTTTCTTTGTAAATCTAAATTGAAAACAACTACTTTTATTCAAACTTTAATAAAGCTTGATAATCTTACTATGAAACATAATTCATTTCCATTTTTTAATTTTAATTTTCTTTCTTGAGGAAAGTCTTGAACCCAATCAAAAGAAAAAACGTCTTCATTCTCATTTCTAAAACAAACAATAACAAAATAAATCCTTTTTTTCCTAAAAATCCAAATTTTCTTACTCATCAATACCAATACATATTGTTTGACTAGAATCTTTATAAAGTGATGCAATGGGTACGTAATATTCGTCATCGGCACCAATTTTTGCAATTGTACGAGATTGTCTGGCATCCATTCGATCAAGATTTAAAATAAGTAACCCGCTTGTTGTATTATTATTGATTTTTACAATTGAACTTAAAGTTAAACATAGTTTATCATTGTGAATTTGAGTATCACAAAGTATTTGGATTGGCCAATGGGAATCAGACGATAATGCTATATCAAACACACGTTTGCAAATGCCATTCAGGTTCATAGTTATAATACGATTTTCAATCTAAATATCAATTAAAGTACATATGAAATGTCTGCTTTTTAATACTTTGTTTACCTTAAAGTCAATCTTTTGTTTCTTTTGAGAATCTTCTATTTGATTAGTTGAAAGGCCAGCATCTAGTTGATTTTCATTTGATGCAATTAATAAAACATATTCATGTTGTATTATATTAACTGGTGTCGATGATGTAGGAATCTTAAAATATAAATAAATAGATCAAAGAAACTAAATAAAATTAAAGATTTTTATGTTTATAGATTGAAAACATTTAAATATACAGAATATTTACTTTGAAACCAATGAGATTCTGAATTGATAATGGTTCACCAGTTTCGTTCAATATAAATATCATCTGTTCATCATCATCATGATCATGATCACTATTGCTTCCAATTAAACTTATCTAAAATTTAAAAAGTATAATAAATCAAGATAAAGTTTCAAATTCTGACTTCAGGTGTAAAACTCTTATTTTCCACCGTGTTGATTTTTTCTAATGGTGATAATGGTGACGACATATACTTGTCCAAAACATAGCTTCTCGTTGTTGGTAATGAATCATCATTGTCACCATCTTTATTATTTTTCAATAGTACGTCAAAATTTATTTTACGAATTGTAGCTGTTTGACGTTGTTTTCTTTCAAGTGATAAATCGAATATAATTGTATTGATATAATCCAGGTCATCTTGATCGAAATACTCTGGAACTAATTTACGGAATTCTGTATCCTTGTCAATTAATACAGGAATCAATATGAGATATTCATCCTGAATGGTGAGAGCTCGATTATGTTTTGCATTTGACTTGATTGATCGTCGATCATCAAATTCTTTTCTTGGATGAATACATAATAGATGACGTCGAATATAATCCATTGAGAATGGTCCATACTCAAAATTGGGATCCGTAACATCCGCTCTATCAAATGTTGTCATCAACAACACTTCAATTGGATTGTCGTTCCATACTAAACATGGTCTCGGTTTCGGTCTTTCATTTTTCGTTTCCGTGGATGATAGTGATACGGACGATGATTTAGAATCATCCAAGTCTTCGTAAGATTTCGATCTTCTCGCCACCAATCCAAACAACTTATCGATACTCTGTCGAATGATGTATATTTCTCCTATCTTAGGAGTTGATCCTATTTATAAAAATGAAATAAAATTAACCATTAAAATTAGGCAAAGTTTGAAATTTGACCTATAGGCCGATAAATATAACGGTCATGAGAAGATACAGGCGCTAAACCTGTTACGACACGATGATGACTTCGATATGGCCGAGAATCTTTCTTCTGATGCTCATGATTTGATGTTGTCGTTATTTTTGCTGCTGCTACTGATGATGAGGATGATGATGATGATGATGAATATATTTTGTGAGAACTACTCGACGCAATATTTCTCCCATGTTTAATGATGATTGACGAACGATTATCGAAACTTAAAGATCTTGATTCAGTTTTATGGTGCCCCTGATGATTGCTTCGCCTTCCATCTCGACGAAAATTTAAATCGTTTCGGCTAGTGCCAATTTTTTCTTTATCGGCACATCGTCGTTTTCGATCTGCAACAACTGAATGCAAATTTGGTGGTGTTTTAGATCTTGAAAGCCTTTTTGTAGAATACTTCTATTTAGAAAATCAAATGTTAGAATGTGGTAAAGAAAGAGCTTCATACTATACAATGAAATCACGATCTTTACTTGGCCGTGTACTTGAACAGATTGCTTTAGATGAATTACAATCAGTTATACTAAATTCAAACTCAAATTCAAAAGTGTTCGTTAAATCATTTCATACCTAGTTCTTAATATTTCATTATTACCATCATTATGATTAAAATCTCGTTGCATAATAAATGCAACTGTTTTCTAGATACGAAATAAAGCATAAAATAGTATATAAAAAATAAATGGGAAATAAAATAAGCTCATGGGGAACAACTCGAGCTTCAGTTTGAAGTTCTTCAAATGCGTATAATGCTTGTTTTATCGATGAATATTCGATGAGACGCCGAGTTCGAGTTCGAATTCGAATATAGATGGACATTCAGCTGCATGGTATCAATTCGGAAAGAAGCGATAGAAATAGGTTTAGTTTTAGATTTAGTTTAAGATGGAGTGGGTGTTGGTTGAGGGGGGCTAAGGAATAACTGTGGGTGACGGTGCGTGTGAGGGATGGGTAGGCGGGGTACCCGGAAGGGGTGCGAGGAATACTCGGGGTACCTCAAATTTGGGTGTGGATAATGGATACCATGGAGGTGTGCTCAAATATGGATGTGGGTGAGGGGTATATATGTATTCATATGTCGCATATATCGGAAAGTTAAACTAAAATTAAATCTAAAAATAGATTTAAGTTTTAGTTTAACTTTTTCTTTTCTCCATTTATATTTGAACTCGAATTAGACAGCTACTCAAATTTCTAGAAAAACAAGACCGGAAGCCTGCATGAAAAAGACAAAGAGTCGATAGCTATAAACCTCTGGTCAACCGGAATGACCAATAGTTCATATAATGTGACGTGATGAACACTAGAGGACGCTAATACAGTTGCGTACATATCGAGACGTGCTACTCTTTATACCACATACACATACAGGTCTAAAAAAGTAAGACCCTTTCCATGTCTAACTCAATCCTACACTAGACTATAACCACATCCACCGTCTTGCAAGACTGATGGCATTTCTTATACTGTGATTTACTTAGAAAAACTTCACTGTGCCATTTTGTTTTAATTATGAATAATTACATTCCAATTACTTAGGATTGAAACTATATTGATAAAGATTAGATAAGATAAACATATCTTATAGTTGTTCAATATAATATTTAGAAAAATGAAGAAAATAGATAATTCAGCAAAATCTAAAAACCAAACAACTCTTGGACAATTTTGGTCATCTACTGGACCGAAAGTGTCAAAAACTAATTTAAAAAATGAAATAATTATTCAAGAAGACGATGACATTGAGTTGCTAGCTGCTATGGAGCAGTTTGAAAAAAAGAATTCTGCTTCACATCCAATAATGACCACAACTACTACTGCAACAAAAACAACAACCGAGACAGCATCGACGTCAAAATGGCCAATATCTTTTAAGTCGGAACAAAATTCTAAGCAAAAAAATGAAGCATCAGTATCAGCACCTGTCAATGAAAATGAACATTTGCATACCTATTCAGATTTCGATCGACAAGCAGGTCGTATGTGGATTTATCCAACAAATTATGAAAAACGTGATTATCAACATAAAATTGTTAGTATGGCATTGTTTCACAATACACTTGTCGTTTTGCCAACTGGTCTTGGAAAAACATTTATAGCTGCCGTTGTGATGTTTAATTATTGTCGTTGGTATCCAACTGGTAAAATCATATTCACTGCTCCAACTAAACCGCTAGTTGCTCAACAAATGGAAGCTTGTGCCAAAGTAATGGGTATTCGAAAAAGTGAAATGTGTGAAATGACCGGCGGTGTTAGTCCTGAAGAACGAAGAAGACTTTGGCTAGAAAAACGAGTCTTCTTCTTAACACCACAAACATTAAATAATGATCTTGTTAAAACAACCTGTCCATGGTCGAAAATTCGTTGTTTAGTTGTTGATGAAGCTCATCGAGCACTGGGTCAACATGCCTATTGTCAAGTACGAAAAAGAAAAACTATTCTTTGATTGATTTATAATTTGTTTGTTTTTGTTTTTGTTTTCCTTTCTTAACTTAGGTTGTCCAAGAATTATGTAAAAATGGTGAAGATTATCGTATTCTGGCACTTAGTGCAACACCGGGAAATAATGTTGAAGTAAAAATGAAATTGATTGTTTTCATTTGATCTATTTTTGTTTTCTGTAAATAGGCTGTACAAAATGTAATTAGTAATCTTAAAATATCTCATATTGAAATGTTTACAGATGATTCACCGGACATTAAAAAATACAGTTTTGACAAGATAATCGATAAAATTGTTGTTGGACCAAATCAATTAATGCAAAATTTACGACGTTGTATTTTGAATGTACTTAAACAGCCAGTTGAAACACTCAATAGATTAGGGATAATATATCAAAAAAGCCCAGAATATGTTACACACGGATCAATTATTATGACTATGAAAAGAATTGCAAAAGATAAGCCAACTAATCTAAATGTATGTAGATAAACTGTTCATAAAGAAATTAAAATTAAGTTTACAAACTTTTTCTCGTAATATTATCATTCAATGGCTTGAAATGCTAAAGTACAGAATTGCGTTCAAAAATGAAATATCTTATAGCTCTGTCTGAGACTTCTCGATTAAGATTTATGTCTATAGTACGATAGGTATAAAAGATAAAGTTTTGTATAATTATGTAGAGAAACACTATTTTGATACCATGTGTACTGTCAATATATTTCATTTCTTGAAGGATTCTTCCTCTTTACCGACATACCTAATATTCTATCTATTGGCTGAAGAGAAAAATAATTTTAGTATTGAAAAATTATCACAGTTAGTAAGCATGATTATCTAGCTATTGATTTATTAATTTGTCAGCGACATATTATATTCGTTGATCATTTCAATTCATAGATGTTTTCTTTTGTATTTTTTTCTAGGATAGGCAATATCAGGAAGCTAAAAGTGCGATGTTTTTTTCTATATCATTTTTTCATGCTCTTGATGAATTAGAAAAGCATGGCTTACAATCTGTCTATAATTTCTTTAAGAAAAAATTAACTGAAGATAAAAAGAATAACATTTTACATGCAACATTTCGAAATAATACAGAATTAAATGAAATCTATATTGAATTACAAAATTTATTTGATTTATCCCAAGTTACTACAGAACAACGATGTAAAACAAGTCTTCAAATAGCTCATCCGAAACTATCGAAGTTACGTGAATGTGTTGTTGAACATTTTCAAACATTTGAACGTACAAAAACAAAACCAACCGATCAAACACGAGTTATTATATTTAGTGAAAAACGTGACAGTGTTAGAGAAATAACAGAACTTCTTCAACAAGATCGACCATTAATTAAGCCAATGGCGTTTATTGGACAAGCAACAACTCATGCTGCTGGACGTAAGTTAAAATCTTCAAGAACGTCTAGTGTTTAGAAACCGTTCTACCAGTTTCGACAACGTTTGATATTCGTACAAGAGTTCTTTTTTTTGAGATTTATGAATTATCATAAAAAATAATATGAATTTGATTCTGAGTTGATTGTCGTTAAATATTGTTGAAGATTGTGGTACGCTCGGAAATCTTAAATTGTCAAATAATTTATTACAACGTGTATTCTTTTGTCCGAAAGTGAGCGAAATAAACATCGAATCCGCACATTCAGGTGCAGCACATACCGATCTCTAGAAAACAAACAAAAGGTTTTCTAGTTACCACAAGATTAACTTAGGCTCGGGATATTTCAAAACTTTTGATGTGCATTTATTCTATAAGTATACAATTCTTTTTTTAGAGGGTATCAATCAAAAACTACAGAAAAAAGTGGTGACTGATTTTCGTGCTGGTGGTTATAATGTACTGATTGCAACATCGATTGGTGAAGAAGGTTTAGATATTGGTAGTGTTGATTTAATTATCTGTTTCGATGCACTTAAATCACCGATTCGACTTGTTCAGCGCATGGGCCGAACAGGACGTGCTCGACAAGGTCGAATTGTTCTTCTTATGACCGAGTTAGTTATTTTTCTTTTCATATCTCAATATTGTGAATTTTATTTAAGAGGTAAAGAAGAACGCACATATGTTGAAGGTGAAATGCAGCAAAAACGTATATTTAAATTAATTGTTGATGGTGCACGTATGCTAGAATTATATCGTAGTAACCTGCGAATGGTTCCACAGGATATTCAACCGATTTGTCAAGAAATGACAATTAAAGTGAACGATGAAACAGATTTATCTGATAAAGACAGTAAAAAGAAATTCAAAACCAATGATTCAGATTTTAAAACAATGATTAATAAAACGAAACAGCAAGGTAAAACATTATTTTACGTATATATACATTCATATGATTTACTTTTTTTATTGTCTAGAAAATTTATTAAAATTATTTCGTAAAGATAAACTGCTCAATGATAATGAATTTTATCATTGGGTAAGAAATTATCAATTGAATGATGAAAATGATGATGATGAAAATCCTGTGATGCCAATGGTAAGTGGTTTTTGTCTAGTTAATTTTCTTTAGAGTGTATTCGTAAAAAGTATTTTTCATTCTATAGAAAGACCGTTTGAAATTAATGATTGAAACAGCTACGAGAAAATGGTCAAATGAACAACGAGAAATCCAAAGTCCTTCGATGCATTCGTCTCGAACCGAAACATTTGTAGACTTTATGAAAAATTATACAAACGAAAGAGTTTATATTGATATACCAGATCATGTAAGTTAAATCTATTGATCTAGCTCGAAAGTTGCTGTGTTGACATCCAGAAATTTTCCAGCGGAAACTGACCAGGATGACACTGCTTCTAGTTGAAAAATGATGGGACGTAAGCAACAGGAGCCCGATGATTGTATATAGTTGCCAAGTCTATCCAGTGTCGATGTGGATTCGATAAATTCTGCCATTAAATCTGTTGAAAAGATGACTGCTTCAAAGTTTCTTTCGTTTTACCAGTTTTCTTGACTACAACCTGTTGTAAATCATTTATCTTGGAAACTAAAGAGTTGCTTCACTAAAAACTGATACTTTCTTTAGACATGGCCCATGGATGAGTCAATATCAAAACCTGAACTAACACCAATAGAAACTAGTATTTCCGATCGGCCAAAAATGCCATCACCATATGATCGGTCAAAATTAAAAGAACAAATACAAAATAAACGAGCTTGTTCACCACTGGATCTAGCCAAGATGCCACAAGAATGTGATCAACTCTTGAATCTTCAGCCAATCATTCAACAGCAAAAACAACCACCACGAGAGGAAACATATGATGAAGAAATTGATTGTGGGGATCTATTTGGTCAATCATTCAATCGTCAGCCAATTGTTCAACAGCATCAACTACCACAAGAGGAAATGCATGATGATGATGATGAAATTGATTGTGGAGATCTATTTGGTCAATCATTGAATTCTCGACCAACCTTTGAACAGCAAAAACAGTCACAACAAGAGAAAATACATGATGATGATGAAGAAATTGATTGTGGCGATCTATTTGGTCAATCATTGAATTCTCGACCAACCTTTGAACACCAAACACAGCCACCACCGCCACAAGAAGAAATACACGAAGAAGAAGAAATTGACTGTGGAGATCTATTTGGTCAATCATTGAATCCTCAACCAACATTTGAACAGCAAAAACAGCCACAACAAGAGAAAATACATGATGATGACGAAGAAATTGATTGTGGCGATCTATTTGGTCAATCATTGAATTCTCGACCAACCTTTGAACACCAAACACAGCCGCCACAAGAGAAAATACATGATGATGAGATTGACTGTGGAGATCTATTTGGTAGTAAGTATTTTGGTTTTTCCGATACAAGTTTTGAATATTTTGTTTTTGTAGCTGGTTCAACATTTGATATAACATGCTTACATCCAGAACCAACACTTCCAATTACAGCAAGTTCAACAGAACCTGAAGCCATCCGTGATGATAATGATAATATTGGAAATTTTAATATTACGATGGATGATCTATTTCCAGCATCTCAAGCATCCCATTCGTCACCAACATTACAATTAAATGATGTTAAATCCCAACCAAAAACTGTTTTCGATGATGATGATATGGATGATGACGAATTATTAGAAGCTTTCAACAGACATGCTGAAGATTCATCAAATAAGATAATAAAACCAAGTCCTGTATTAGTTCTTACGAATAGAGTTAATACACAAATTCAAAGCAATATTCCAACAGCTGATGTTACTTTGCCTAAATTTGATTTAGAATTTAGTTTTGATGATCTTGATAATAGTGGTGAGCAAACAGACAATGTACTTAATCTGTAAGTTTTCATAAATGATTCTCTTTTCAAAATGAATTTGCTGTCATGTTTAAACTATTCTGACTTAACTTTCGCTTGAAGAAATATGAAAATTCTAAAAAATGATTACTTTTTATGATTATTTTACAACTCATGTAGTTACATTATCACTTAGCATAGTTATAATGTTTTTTGTGTACTCAAAAAGTGAGTACACTCTAGAATCGGTCAGTGTGTCCGTCCGGCCGTAGGACCGATAACTTGCGAAAGGAGAGTCAGACCGTGATGAAATTTTCCGCACAGTTCAATCGCATGAATATCTCGGTCGAGTTCGAAGATGAGAAGGATTCCTCAAGAAATGGTTGAGTTATCGAAAAAAGTGTCATTTTTGACCAGGCCATCCCTGAGGAGGAGTACAGGGAATTTTTTTCAAAAAATAAATCTTTCTCAGAATTATTCACAACATATATAAATCGACTCAGTTTTTAACGCTGATTCCGAATCTGATATTAGCTTTGAGCGAAACCGTAGCTTTCTGATGAAACATCGCCTGAAAAACGTCTCAAAATGCACAAAAACTGCATCCAGAAATCAAATTGCCTAGTTTCTCATGATAATTTTGGTGTTCAGACATTCTAGAATGACTCATATGCCCCATGCACTTTTTGCAGTACACATAACTTTCGGATGAAATCCGAAGTTTCCACATTTATTTTCTTATGAGAATTGATCATGTTGGTGAGGAATATCATTGTGATTTTTCTTTGGGCCAATTCGCTTAATAAGGAGATTAAATATTCAACTAATTAAACTTTGGACAAATAAACGTAGGGCTTTGTATTTGGCTAGCTATCGGTTTTTGGAATGTAAAACGGAAAAATTAGACAGCTCAACGTAAATGAGCTTGAAAAAAGAGTAGCTTAGCCATGAGGGTGTAACATGAAACAGCACGAAGAAGCGTAGCAAAAATAATTAAATACCTAGAATATTTAGTTCCTTTTGTTGTTCAATGTCTTCATATTTAGTTGAAGCATTTTATTACTAATGCAAAAGGTAGGGAATGAATGTTTCTGGGATAATTTGTTTTTAATAAAAATATGAGAGAATCCTGTAATTGCATTACTGCAATGAAGAGATCGAATCATATATTTTAGCTTTTTCTAATCTATTTTCTTAAAAGAGATCTCTCAAAATGTTTTTCAGGCAGACCCTTTTTCAAGGGATCTGAGAGGTTTTAGTGAAAGAAGTTTGGCTCACCGAAACTAAATTATTAAAATTTAAGACTGGCATAGTTTCACACATTTTTGATTTGCGATTTGTGCATAATCATTGAAAATTCACTTTCATCATATTAAAGAGTAAGTCAGTTCTGAAAAAAAGAAGGTTCGTAGGTCTTGGTCTTTTCTTTCTTAAGATTTAGCCAGTCGCTATAAGTTTTAAATGAGATTAACTACCGAGTTGCTAGCTTATAAAATTCTTGGGCAACGAGTTCTATTTGAAATTCTATCTATTACTATTTTAGTACTATTGCTGAAGCAGTTAATAAAAATAATGTAGCAACGCATTGTGATAAATTTGAAACACCAATTCGACCAGTGCCATCAAAAAAACGTGTTCGACGTCTGTCAATTACAACGCCTGATGTAATCGAAAGAAAAAAATCTAAAAGTGCACAAGAACTCAACGTTAAACAACAACAAGAACTACATTTTCACCGACGATTGGCATCAGATTTTCTTGATCGTGAAGCTGCTGTTGATGAAGCATTATCTAATTCGATATCATCTGAGGAAGAAGAAAATGATGACCATAATGATGATGGAAACGAACATGGTCATTTTATTGATGATCGACAAGTGTTAACACAAATGCCTAATATTGATATGACAAGTGTATATTTAAAAAGCATCAAAAGTCCGAAAGTTTATTTTCGCCCACCACCACCTCGTATGCCAATTGAAGATATTTATTCTCAATTACCACATATGACTATGCATGACGATACTGACGATGAAGAAGATGATAGTTTTGTTGATGATACAACAGAAATAGTCGATGATCATCATGGTGAAGTTGATTTCGATGAACTTGCAAATATTCTTGGTACTCAATCAGTTGTTCATCGTCAAACAAAAGTAACAAGGCGTGGCGTTAGATTTGGACGAACATCAGAAACAACAACACCTAAACGGAAGCCAAAACGTCGTGTTCAAATTGCTGAAAGTCCTATGTAATTGGTCATGTGATGTATTTTATTACCTATTATAAATTATAACTATTTTTTCTTTTTTTGTCACACTACAATTGTTCCATGCTAATATATTCTATTTTTGTTGTTGTTGTTGTTGTTATCTATGTATAGTTATATTTGTTATGAAAATGATTTAGAAAACGCGTTGAATACGTCAGCTAAAAACCCATAGTAAGCAGAATAAATTATTGGAAACTAAATAGCGACATTATTTTTGCTTGATGTAGACGATTTTCGATTGTATTTTGAGAACACTCAGATACCTTTGTACTTCCGGTAGTTTGTGTACGACGACACAGTCATAGAGTAAATATATATATATATATTCATTTCTTAGTCTTCCGCATGTCTCTCATGAACTGAAATCATGCTATCAAATATATAGAACAAGGAAAATACATAGTCGAAGTCTATCGATATCAATATTCAGTTGTGTGCATTTATATAATTCTTTTCTTTTTATACTTTTTTGTAGATACTTTATCATATTTTGTTAATTCAAATCTATTGATTATGCCTAGTACCACTACACCAAACAGAAAATCATCAACTAGTTCAACTCAAATACATTCAGCACAAGCTGAAAATGTTCAAGTTGAATCTGTTGTTCAAACTCAAACTCAAACTCAATCAAAGGTTGGCATGGAGAATAGCAAGAAAATAACAGATCTTATGGCTCGTCTAGGTAATTTTGACAACAGACAAAATTAATGAAACTCTTTTATGCATCACTTCAGGCACAACTCATCTTCAAATTGACAAATATTCACGTAAGCGCAATGACGAAATTAATGACGCTGTTCTTGGATCAATTAAAAAGATCGTCGCTGGCACACAAGAACAGCAACAACATCTTCTTGCCGAGGCTAATTTACGTACAACAGGTGCATTTTATTTAGATATGTTTCTATTCTTATCTTGCAGGTTTATCTAATTTAAGATATTGAAAATGAATTTCAAGCGAGATTGCAAGATTATATTGCTAAACTTGACAATGAAAAAGCAACTGTACTCGTTCAGCTAGAAAAAGATCTTGATGTTCGCCAACAAGTTATTCTTGAATCAGCTCGTAAACGTATTGATGATCTTAATACAAAAGCCAATCGTTTGAAAATGGTTCGTTCAACATATAGCTTCATGTTGTTTTCTATTGAAAATAAATTTCATTGGTTCTGTCCATTTCTAGAATGTTCTTAAAGAAGCCCAAGCTCAAAGTTGTGTACAAATGAGTAAATATCTTTGAACTATTAGATTTAATCTGATTAATTTTTTCTGTTCTTTTGTCAATAGCAAAAATTACAGAGCAAGTTGCTGTTCTTGAACATGAAGAAGCTGCACGTCGCCTTGCATCAACCACTAAAACAGTCTGTAGACTTTGCCTGCTTTTTTAAGATCATTTTAATTGTTTTTTTTCCTGCATTTAATTCTAGATAATTACAACTAAGTCAGTATCTGCTAGTGAAGCACACCATCAAGATCATTCAACAACAAACGACCAGGTGACAACACACGTTGAAGCATTAAAATCTCCCAGCAGCTCGTCAACAATATCTACTGAGTCTCGCCAAACGAAATAAATGATTTATATCAGAGTGTATTATTTCTCTGCAGTGTCTGTACTTATTCTATTTTTTTTTGTGTCAATGTCGTTTCGTGATTTTCAAAAGAGACTACCAAATAAAATTAAAAAACAACAAAGAATTTTTTCATTCTGTTTTTCAAATTTGAAGTTTCATTATAAAACTTGGTTGGAAATAATCAATTCTGTTCATAATCAAGTACGAGATTATTCTACACTTGAACTCTGAAGAAAATACTTGATAGATAACCGCAATGGAGGGAGCCTTCGTTTAATTTTCTTATCTAGTGAACATCATTCATCTCATTTCTCTTTCTTGACAGGCCTATCGATATACAAGCAACACAATAGCTATGGTGAAATGTCAGTGAACACATCTATCTTATCAGTGACCATATAAAAACAACAGTTCACAAGAAAAATTTCATAGACGTCTAACTGAATATCCAGTATATCATGTCCAGCAAGTATGCGTTCTTTTTTAACAGAAAAAAAAGATCAATGAAATATCTTGATTTATTTATTTTTTATTATGCAGATTTTTAGTAATCTTAGTGGCTTCAATTGCACTATGGACAGTTGCAAAAACACTGGTCATCAAAGATCAAGAGCTAATTACCGACTTTGATCAATGTAATTTACTCTATTTATTTTATTTATCAGATGACTTCTGTCTTTTTTTTACTTTTATTTTCTATGAACAGCAACTGCTGGTTTATTGAATACTGTACCAAGCAATAATAATGATACTTCATCCTCGTCAGCTATTGCAGCAGAAGAAAGTGAAAATTTGCCTGTGCAAGTCATTGAAGAAGAAAAAAATGAGACATCAATTACTAAGAATGATGATAGTGAGTTGAACACAGCAAATGATGAAGAACAGTTGTCAACGTCGACATACGTTAATAAAATGATCGAATCACCGACAGACTCTGACAAGGATGTTGAAGTCGTCAATGCAACGACGGAACGTGAAGAAAAGGAAATCAAACAGGAAGAAGAGCAAAAAGCATGCACTGCTGGAGATGAAGATAAATTCAAATCATCTACTGATAAACTTTTCCGAGAGGAGAAAGTAGACGCCGAAGAGCATGACGAATCAAAAATAAATGGCGATGGCCATAACAATGTTGATTAGTAATCAATATCTACACATTACCAATCATCGCATCGATATAACTCATTTTCCGTTCGTTTTCTTCTTACGTAGTTTCGTTTTTTTTTCTAAAATATACACAAGCGTGCTTGAATGGGTACATCATATATGTTTTTTCACTACTGCTTGTTGTTTGTAACTATCGGTCGGTAGTGGCGAAATAATCATTCATGCGAATACACACAATCAAGTCTCACACGATTAGCATACTATCGTTGATTGTATACCAATATCTTTCAGTCTGTATCGAGAAGAATATTTTTTCATTATTAATTATAATGCAAACGTACATTGTGCTGATCGTTTGTTTCAGTTAGACTTTCTCTTGTAAATAAAATCATTTGTCGAAAGCTTCACCAACACTACGTAAAAAAGATTGCATCTATTAGCTGAAAGTTTTTGCAACACAATTAGACCTTAAAATCGTTGTAATTACAAGAGATAGCAATCAAACTAAACAAACTATAGATATCATGCGTGCACCTGCACTGATAAACAAGAAAATACTGCTTTTGTTTTACATTCCCAGCTATAAAAGGAAAAAGCTTTTCACCGTAGTCACGTTGGAGTTAAAATGTGGAATTCACATATTTCGGTCAGTTAGATACTGATCAAATAGAAGTTTTATTTTTTCAGTGTAGTGAGATCATATTTTGTTCAAAAATAAGATAATAAAACCTTTTTAACATTTGAAGTTCATTGGGTCTATCAATAGGAAATATTACTAGAGAGAACATATGAAAAACTTTTTGTTTAGAATATGTCAGGATGCTGAGGTGTTCAGTAGTTTCATTGAGAAATATTGTGAATGATAATAGATTAAATAGTATTTAGGATATAGCTATCGATATGTTTGATCAAATATGTTATATAGAATGTTGAGAATTTGTTTTTCGTATTATCAGGTGAGAAATTGATACATTTTTATAGACGAAAATTTGATATGAGCTTCCCAGTGGATGGAAAAATTGCGAATTGTAAATACACTAGAGTGGATTCAAGTTCTAGATTAAGGTATTTGTGTGAGAAAAAAAGATTAAAATTTTCATCTGTTTACTATGGGTGGTAGAAGTAATGAGTGCAATAGTAGCATAAACTAGTTGCTAGCTTCTTGTAGTGGTAGCATACACTCGTTGCTAACGTCTGTAGTAATAAAAATATACATTAAGGTTGTAACGATGTACTATAATAATAAAAACGACAGATTTTGATGATCAAATAGCGATTAAATCCTAATTATAATGATTTCTAACTAGCGAAACTGGATTTTTATGGCTGATATCAGTAGTGGTGAATATAGGCAATCTAATTGTACCAATATTTTTATCTAATTATCGCACCTATGTGTTATTTTTTTCATGATATATGTCTGCAATGGGGACGGTGTGGGGTACAGGGGAGCCGCAATAACGTTACACTTCAACTTACACTCACTATTTTCTTCGAAAATATATGTGAGTTCGACAAAAAGTGATTTATACCAGTGGATTGATTGCACCTCTACTGATGTACATGTATACCTATGACTATATGCGCACAAATAAGTATCACGGATATTCATGTATAATATATAATATATACCGATTGACTTTGTAGAAGAATAATTTGAAGTATGATGGAGTACACTAATGCTAGGTATTGCTATTTGATAATTCAATAAAACGTATGTTTATTCTCGCATAGTGTTCTTCTCTTTTTATTCTTTTCTATTCGCGTGTAACATTATGACAGCAACAGAAACGCGAGCATAGGTAAACATATTTATATTATACACGTCCCTCCTTTGTGTTATATTTTATCCTATTACTATTATCATATTTGCGCGTGTGCATACCTGTTGAGAGCAAACCTTGTTATTTAGATAGTGTCTTGGATTATAAGTTTTTTTGAAGAAAATCTAATGATTCATTTTATTAAATCTTTTTGTCTATAATTTTGAAATTAGTTTTTGCAAATCTGAATTGGTTGTCTATTGTCTTTATAGGAGTCCAAAAGAATGTCATTGCCCTTATTGGACTATGATTATGGCTATGATTCAACAAAAATTAAAACTGCGCATTTATCATCAGCTCGTACAATATCAATAATATTAAATATAATTTTATCTATTACAATATGTTTATTTAGTTTTTCTTTAATACATTTTCTTACTACTAGAGATCTTCGGGTTAACGCATCAGAACATCAATTATTAGTCGCTCAACAATTTCAGAAAGTTGCGGATCTTTCAACTACAAGATGCTATTACGATTATGATTGTTATTCGAACAATATGGCATTGTATCAAAAAAATAAAACTCGGCGATTTTTTTATATTGATCTCGGTTGTTTTGATGGTCATGATATTAATTTGTTTTTACATTTTCATGAAAGCCACATCGCAAAATTAGGAAAACTGTTTATAATTGCCTTTGAACCTGATCCCATAAATTTCTCTGCCTGTAAATCAACACAAGATCTATATCCATTTCTTGGAGGCGTAACTAAGAAGCTTGCTGCTTGGATAGAAAATGGTCAAGTACGATATGCAACAGAAAAAGGACAAAGATCTAAAATTGATCAAAACTCAGCATCATTTGTTCCATCAGTTGATTTTTCAGAATGGTTGAAAATGAATGTTCATGCTGACGATTATGTTTATGTTAAATTTACAGTTGAAGGTGTTGAAATACCTATCTTAGAAAAATTAGTTCACGATGAAACTGTAGCATTGATTGATCACATGGAAATTGAATGGCACGACGAATTAGCAGCTGATTTCGAACCACGGCGTATTTCACTTGAATGTATGTTTGATAATTTTGGCATGGATTTTCTTTATATGATCAATCCAGTTGATTTAAAACATGCGTACAATATGAACGAAACATTTGATACCGTACCAAAAGATCGAGGATGGTATGTTTCCTAGAACATCGTTATAATTCAGATTTGCAATATCTATTTGGTTTTTAGGAAATTAAAAGATTCGTTGCTTCGCTTCTATTATACAGCTCGAAAAGAAGTACCCGAGTTAATCAAAGAAGGACTCAAACCAAAAGACAAAAATTTGTTCTACTAATTAAAATAGTTGATAAATTCTACTCATTCTCATCATCATCATCATCATCATCATCATCATCATCATCCTTATTATTTGTTTTTTTTATTAATATTCATATCTTAACATCGAATGACAACAAGCGAACAAAAAAAAATGAAATAAGCAGTTTGATCCACAACACACAGATAAAAGAATGAGACAAGCAGAAATTATATAAGATCATTTCAAAACTGCACATAAAATAGATTTTGTTCTTGTTCAATACCAATTGCGATGCATAAAACGTGCTAAAATGCCAAGCATACACTTGACCGAATAGACAAGTAGCACCGCATATTTTAGTCATAAAGTGACGCAACCTTGTTTTTCTTTGAATGGATTTTCTCTTGCAAATCCAGCCCAACCACGAACTAACACATCTCCACTTTCGTGATCTTGACAAAATTTGATTAAATCTTTGCATACAACCGATACTTTAATACGTTCAATATTTGCTTCGACCCGTAATTGTTCTACTAATTTTTGTTTATTAGCTATTGTCGACATCGTAAAATTAGTTTCGTTCTAAAAAAGAAAACAAAAGAAAAGACAGCTGAAATAATAATAAGATTTATTGAAATATTTTTTTAACTTACGATTTGTCGTTAAAATTAATAATCACAAAAAATAGGTTATAGTCTAAAAACCAAAAGAATTAAAAAAAAAGTTAGAATATAGAAGTAAATGAATATAGTATTTCACATTCTTCTTCTTTCTCTTGAGTGTGTAACTGATGAACGTTCACTGGTTTCCGTTTTTTTCTTCGCCTGTTTTTTTCTCAGTTAGAAAAAAAAAGGAGGTGATCATTTTTTTTTCTTTCTTCAAGACAGGAAGTTAAACAAACGAACAATGAGATCATTTTTTCAAAACTACACCCTTCGCTTTCTCTTTCTAATATTCCTCCTCTTTTTCTTTTTCTGCTTCTTCTTCTTCTTCTTCTTTCTGTTCCTTGTATCGTCTCGTCATTGACAACGCCGTAAGGGATAATCTTTTCACACTCACATTCATAAACAAATACGAACAAGAAAATTTTGATGGAACAATATATCATGATTATTATTATTTCGTAAACTCCAATCTTTTTTCTTAAGCTTATTGCTGTCACGAGAACGCAAGAGCGAATCATAACAATATCTATGTTCTATCATTCGTAATAATGACATTTGGACAAAACTGCTCTTTCTGTTTGTTCTTTCGAGCGTATGAAAATCTGAAATAAAAAGAATAAATGTAAATAAAAGGCATGTCATTATTACGCATTCAATGCGGATAAATTATTTTACTTCGCATAAACTTTAGAATATTCTATAATTTATGCTACTTATTCTTTAACTTTAATATGTACTTAAAACTTTTTTTGCGAGATGCTAATTTGAACTATAATTTAACAATCTTAACACTTTATAGAAGAGCATAATATATTTTGCTACTTCTCTAGACAAAGCAAGAAAAAACTGCTCTTGAAATATTCGAAAATTTTTAAATTCATTATATAATTCAGTAATATCGAATATAGCATCATTTTGAAACGATAAATAACTATTCTCGTCACGCTACTCTAATGAGAACCATTAATTCGGTAAACAAAAACAGATTGCTAAATATGCGAGTGTATGCAAATATTTTAGCGTTTTAATTATCATATTTACATGAAAAAAGAACCATTATCATTTAACCATCAATCAAGTCATTATGTGCGTAAATATTATAATACAAAAGAAAAAAAAGGAACAATCATCATTCAATAAAAGTTTTAATATTTTTATCTCCAAAATCTCAATCAATTAATATGAAACAAAACAACAAAACATATCACGAGAGATTTGTAGAGAGAAGTATAATAAAAAGAAAAGAAGCATAAATAAATGAATTAGTAACCATGTTTAATATCCTAGATATAATAAATGAACGAGATTCGAAACGAAAAATTTGCATTCAAACTGTTCACTAGCTCGTTAAATGTCGTGGCGCATTGGCAAACATAACTTTTAATTGGTAGGCTTCAGCCGTCAATATACTTATATCATTACTTGTCCATGAATGTGTCGGCAGATTTTGAAGAAGTAGTAATATACCCTGATGGAGATTTAAACATATATAATATATATATACATATCTATTATAAGCAGAGACGTTTATATTTACTTGAAAATCTTTTTCACGTAAGAGGTCCTTTGAAAAACGAACAAGAAATGATGCACATATATACAAATGAAATTGAGAAAATCCGTTTTGTTCAGACTAGAAATTAATTTTTCTTTAGTTTTATGCTTTTTAACACAAAAAAACATTACATACAAGATATGTATCCCATAGACGAATCGTACAACGTACGGGTAACTCTCGCATAAGTAAATTATTCATCCAACGAAAAGCAAATTGTAGAAATTCAATATGTTGATTTTTTAAATGTCGATATAATGGTTCTAAAAGAAAATATTTCCGATTAAAATTACAAACAAAATATTTTCGTTTATTCAACAAACCATCAATGCGTTTAACAAGTTCTTCAAGTGTTCGAACTTTATATTGTATACCGGGTTGAGCAAATGTATAATTATCTTGAATGCCTTCAAGTAAATGTGATGTGGCCCAATAACTGTCAGCTTCGATAATTTTTCGATTTGCCTCCGGTAATGAGCTAATATCAAAATTTTCAATTTCGACATCTAATTTAGAAATTATTTCATAATAATTATTTGTACAAAACAAAAAAAAGATGTGCTAGAGCGTACCATTTTCAATAAATTCAGAAAGAAAAACAACAAAAAATGGTGTAACAAGGTCATTGATACCTTGAACATAACCACTAGCTGGATGACGAATTGCCCATATAAATAAAATCCGTTCGAATAGTTCTTGTACAACAATTTGTTGAAATATTGGCATTAATGGATTCATTCGTGGAATGTCTATGTGAATCTAAACAATCGCTGGTTTAAAATCTATTTATCGTATTATAACAGATTTGATAAGATTCTCTTCAGAGAAGTATTCTTCAAGATAATACTTTGACATAAAATTAAGCTCTCTCGACTTGATCTTGTCGATATGCTGAAGTAATTTAGTGTGTTTTCTCATAACTAACAAGGAGGACTATTATTAATCACAAAAAAACATTTCAACTTAAATTTTATGAATACTAATTAGAAAGCCACTTCAATTAGCTCAAAAGTGAAACATTCGAATTGTCAACAACAAAAAAAAACAAGAGCATGATGACATAATAGATGTTGTCACTCGTAAATTTCTAATGAGCAAATCTCATCAATTTGTAGAACCTAAATATATTGAAAATTAATTTGAAGAACTAAGATTATGCTATATCAAACGTTTAAAAATAGATTTTGAACTTTTAAATTTAATGCATGAATTCTGTTCAGCGGCATATTAATAATAGTTTACAAAGAAAAACTGCATATCTAGTAGTCTTGCTCCAAATTCAGATTATCATCAATAATGATGGAGTCTTAATGAGCAAAAGATTTTGCACGTTTTTATTTTAGATTTACTCATAAAACTATTCATTCATTCGTATTTAACTAAACCTCAAATTAAAAAACTTTTAAGCTTTAAAAAAGCAGAACTATCTTATATGTAGTTATCAATTCGTTACAAAATGAAATCCACTAGAGAATATTCTTAAACTGTATACCTGTCGAAATGTATCTTGATGTTCACTTTCAGTACGTGTATGATAATATTGGCTAACATAGGACCAATATTCATCACGTTTTCTTGTTAAAGTATCTTCACGTCGTTCAATTTTTGGTGGTAAATAACCCTAAAATATATATTGAAATTGAATAAAAAATAAAATCTATCAATTGTACGCAAAGTAATTTCCATGCTTGTGCTCGGTATTGTTTAGGAATACCGTTCCAACTTGCTTTGCGGAGTTCGTCTAAATATAAAAAGAAAAAAAAAGATGAAAATATCTATTAAAAATTTGCTTTTTATACTGAGATCAATATTGGTTTGTTCGAAAATTGGTTTAAATTTATTTTCCTTTTGAATGTCAATATCAAGTTTTGTTATTAGATTTGGTCTTGAATTAGTTTTAATAATTTTAGTCAAAGTAGAGTTTGAATGATTATTATTATTATTATTATTATGATCATCATTATTTGCATATCGAATTGGTACTAAGGGTTTTATATTTGGATAATCACCAATTCGTCGTCCAATACCAGGGCATGTAGTTGAGCTTGTGTGTGATGCTAGAACTGGTCTTCGAACTAGAATTGAGAAAAGAAACAGTATGTATATTGTGTTGCAACTATTAAATATGTATACGAAAAAAATTCTGATCGTTAAATTAATTTCTCTCTAATTTCATTATTACACTGTATTAAAAAAAGATTTATACAATCATTACTAGACTGCAAGATTGTACTCGTGACACCCATAAAGACTAAAAATAATCGGTCACGTAATTCCTTCCTAGAGATGTGCTATGTTGTTACTATAAACACAGAAAGATGTTTCATTAACAACGGTATAAGTAGTAACATTGAGTTGCCGACTCTTAACATATACTATTTTGTTTTTGAACGGTATGTTCGAATGCTCCAGTCATTTCGGATACTGTTTTGTCAATGTGCACCGATTACACTGAATTGATACTTAGTAAACTGAAACTGAACATCTTTAGATTTATGTACGAATATTTATCAGTGCAAATTAAACACAATAACTTATGAATATTGCTAACGCCATTTATGCATAATACCTCTAATTTATAAACGGGCATTCAACTAATAATCTAAGTAGCGACGTCTCTGCATCAACTGATAATGTATCACACGAGAAAACTTGCAGAAAATAAACTAATACCTCTATATGAATGCCAGAAAGATTGCAAGATAAAATTATTTGATTTCGAATGACGTCAGCTGGATATAGATAATATTGTCTTTAGAACGAAAGTCAATCTTATTCGGCTAATGGAAGTAAACATTTTTAACGAGTTTCATAGAAATCATCTACTAGATCGTAATGTTCAATTGTTAACTTTTCACACGTATGTCATAGACAGTTCACAGAAATATATTTTTTTCTAATTCATATGCCAGTATATATTTGAAGGAATCAAATGATTAATGTAATAATCCAAAATTTTCAGACACAACACATAGTTGACGTGTTCTATAATACATATTTAAATACGATGGTAAATTTCTATTTCGAAATAACTTTTACTTAGAAAACAATAGCTTTCATATACTACATATTTCTGAAAAACTTGCCCAAAATTTTATAATGTTCCAGGAATCCTTGTGGGATTTTTCTTGAGTGTACTCCTCGCTTTTGGGGCAAAGACAGACGTATTTATTGTTTAAGATGATTATGTAGCTGTATATCAGAACATAAGTATAAAATGCAATAAAAAAAAACATAGAAACTTGAGTAGTGTTAAAAAAATAACAGGAGTATACTGTTGATCTAATTTCATCAGAATAGGTATATAGAATCTTTATACAAGTCTTGTCAATACAAAATATCACAATGATCATAATAGTACTCAATTATTTTTCTGTTTTTTGTTATATTATATTATATGATTCATTATTATGACTAAACCATTTTTTTAATATTCACTAATGGAGCCAAATTCCATTGATCTATAGAGTCATGAACTAATGGATTGTTTAATGGGCGGATATGTTTTACTGCTCGAGTGCGTATAACTTTTATCTTTTCTAGCCTATAATGCCCTGTATTAGTAGACGCTTTTTTCTAATTTAGTCTGTTGGGATTTTTTTGTTTTATGTCATACTCAACTGGAAGAGTTCAAATTAAACACACTTCATGTAATGCATTTAAATGTTCAATGCGCGTTACTTGTTCAAATGACATGATATAGAATCTTTAAGGCACTGACATACCTAGGGCACTTCTTGAAGCATACTCTTTGATAATGATTTGATGTCGCATTAAGTAGAGTCCATGTACACATTGTACTAATAGGCTCAATTTGTTTTCTTTTCTTAGTTGAACTCTACTGAACGAATATACAGCTGTATAGCATTGATGCTGTTTTAAAATCTATAGTATATATTTTTATGTATTCATGAACAACATTCCTAATAGAGTCCTTCAATTTGAATATATAGAAGAAGAAGAAAAAACAACTTCCTCAATTACCATCACGTTAGTTTGACATATAGATCAAGTCAATTCCTCTTATGATTATTAGCATAAATCTAATAATAGCATTATTTTAAGAAGTATTATATTTAATCAAATTACCCGCTGATGCATCGATTGTAAGCTTATTTGATTGACTTTTCGATTTATGTTCTTGTATAACTCTTGATGCAACTTCATCGACCGTCTAAATAATTTAATAAATATTCATTTCTTTTTTTTATTAAGATTAAATTATAATTTTAACCTGTTTTGAAATGCCTAATAGTTGTGTTGGATAGTCATTATCATGTCCATTCTTACTATCATTATCGAGCATTTTCAAAGTCATTACTCGATCATCTATTTCCCATGCATCATCTGTATTTATTGCATATTCATGAAATTTTTCTTGATCTTTTTTCTTTGAAATTATTGTATTCATAGCAATTGGTTTTCTAGATGATAGAAATTTATAAGAAGATTCACCTTAATATAAATCTCTTCGTTTTACTTGTTCAAAAGTTTCGATGAAAGTGGCGGATGTTGAGCACCAAAAACAGGCCTTCAATGCAAAAATAAATCTCAAGTATTGACTCTAGAAAAGAGGAACTAACCTTCCTGGCACTGTGTGTTCCGTTTTCCATAAAGTTGGTTGTGTATTACTAGACATTGTACAACGTTTTACAGTAACATAATGATAGTATCTTCAAAATATGTTTATTGTTTTCAATTCTTGAGACGCAACAAGTCAATAATATATCAATAAGACGAAGGACGTCAGAATATCAAAGAAGTACTAATATGGACAATAAATAAACAATAAATAATAATCGAATGATAAATATTACACAAAATTTTTCTATTGGATGAATTATTACCCAATGAAAAATATATGGTTTCAAGACAAATTTAAGAAGAAAAAAAAGGCTTTTTTAGATTTAAGAAGAAAAATTGAAAGAATTTCAAATAAAATTTCCATCTATAAACTTAAATGAACGGATAAGATCATAAAAGCGTTTCCAAAGTTACGAAATTGATGATGCCTAAAGGAATTCGAAAGCGAATAGTTTCAGTTTCTTCTTAATGGCTGTAACCAACCTGCATTTGCCTGTGGCACGTAATTGAGATGAATTTTATCTTCTAGTAATGATTTTATTTGTTTTTTTCTCCCTGTAGCCTTTAGATCAATCAGAAGAGTATGACATTTTTGCACATGAAGCTCATCGTATTATCGATCAACTTGTCAGTCAATCATTAACACATGTTAATGATACAAATGAAATATCTGATCCAAATAATGAAGAATATAATATTCAAAGAGGTCGTTTCATTGTATTAGAAAATGAAACGAAAACCCAAGGGCAAACATCGATACGTTGGCCAACTATTGCTGAATTCGCGGATGAAAAAGTTGGAATAGAAAAAATAAATGAATATATTGAAAAAGTAATTTCACTTAATCTCATTTCAAAGAATATTGATTCGCTAAATATAGCAAGAGTAAAGAAATCCTGGGGTTTAACTAGGTTCTAGTCTATTCTATACTCAAATGTCATAGATTGGGGTTGACTTAAATATTTACTTTTCATCTCATCAGATTGACAGTCTTATGCCAATACAAGGCGAATTGCATTGCCTACGCTGCAAGATTGTAATATCGTTCAGGGGGGAAAAGCAGAAGCTCAAATGTTTATTAGAAAATACTTCAATTTTGTATAACAACAAATGTTGAATTTGATGTTATTTATATCTGTGACTACAACTTCAAGCCTAAGCCATATTTTTGACAAAGTAACTAAACACAAAACGTAGTTAACTTTTCTTTCCAGAATCGAAATAAGCAAAGATAGATAGTTGGATACATGCACGGATTTGTGTCAAAAGTAGAGATACGATGAAGTCATCAAATTTCAAGACGAGCCCATAGTCCAGAGTACTGATTAAGCATTTTTCACGAACAGTGATCGAACTGTAAGAGAAAATTTTTGTCTTCTTTTTGAAAAAATTAGCGAGGAAAATAAGTATAAAACGAAAATTTATCGTTTATTCTATTTAGACAAATGTCTACATTTTAATAGATTTCATTTTAAGAGCAAAACTATAATTTATTAAAGATTTCGCGTTATTTATCGAAAGGAATGGAAAACGGCACCAGGTGGTCACGATGATAGTTGGCTCTATGCAATCGATTTTCTCGAACGAAAGACACTAGAGTTTAATTATCTCTACATTTATCGAGTAAAAATCTTCGTTCTATTTGTTTATGTACGTGGTAAATATGTTTCTTCCTCAGGTACGTTACTCAATACCAACACGAAGACAACCAATACCACGGCAAACAGTTTCGGTTTATTTTACCATTGATGTTTCAAAAATAAAACCAAAAGTAAAAACGCATTGATTTTAAAGTTCTATCTTCTTTTATATTTATATTTGTTTATTCGATTAGAATACAATAGTACACGTTTCATTTGTATTTGAGACAATGCGAGTCGTCTATCATCCAGGTGAATTTCGTTTTCGTCAAAATTGGCTAGAAGACATTATTTTATTTAAAGAAAAAATGGCAAACGACATCAATTTTTAAAGTTTATTACATTTTCTTTTAAATTATTCTTCACAACAAAATAAACGTCCGTTAATATAAATAAAATAGAGAACCATGGGTGAATTAAAAGTTGCGTATCTTGTAAGCAAATTAAAAAGATGTTAAAACAATTATTATTGTCAAAAATATAAATAGTAATATTATCTAAATGAGTGTTAGCAGTTCTTAGAAGTAGTAGTAGTAGTAGTAGTAGTAGTAGTGGTAGGAATTCATAAATAAAATAAATAAAAAATCAAATGTTTATTAATACTGGGTATTTTTCTAACTGTTACGAAACTAATTGAAAAACCTTTAAAAACATAATCACATTTTTATGTGATTTTGCACTGGGATATAGTTAAGAAATAGATGCAGGCGGTATCGTTGGACGTTGAAATAAGTGTGTTGGATCACTCTGGTCGGGTTCAGATTGATATTTACCTAAAATAAAAGAAGTTTAAATTTTTTTTTGTTTTTCAAATGGTCTAAAGTTAACATGATTATCATTAAAAAGTACTAATGAATAGTAGTGTTATCTACTCAAGAGTAACTATATATATATATATATATATTCTATACTAAACCATTGGAATACTGCATAAAGAAATTTTCAATCTCAAGTGTTGCTCTCTTACAGACTTTGAATAAAACCATTTTTTGTCTCAAAATTCGATAATTTTCTATTTGCTTTTGTGCTAAAATGAGAACATCGTATATTCTACGTAGAGCCTATAAACTATTTCAACAACAGAAAACGTGCCTCAATCATATTTCTGTATAAAATTATAAATGATGAACGAATCTGAAATGTTAATAATAAGTCTTTCTATGTTAGATTATAGAGGATTGCGCCTGATGATTGATGATATCTTTAAGTACGCCAATAATAATAAAAAAAAATAGTTTCTAAATAGTTTTAAACCAATCATATCTTCAGAATATACATTTTTCTCATTTGAAAACAATCGATCCACTTGAGAAATTTTGCATCGAAATATCCACATTGATCGCAAATATAATTTTACCTCCAAAATATTCTGTCGATCATCAAGTAAATGATCGAATTCGAAGATTTAAATACAACTATGTCAATTATGTTAGACATAATCGATTTTGTAAAATTATCTACCATGTCTATGTTTAACATTTCTATAGATTTTCATTTGAAAACCTAGTTACCAACTTCACTGAAATATTTTCTTTTAGCTTCTATATTCGAATCAGATATTTATTTTTGTTTTTGTTTATTGATTGAGAACTCACCACTCAGTATTTTCTTTTTGAGTAATGAAACTCGATAACCATGACCAGTAAGATCAAAATCAATTGATGAGAAAAGTGAATTTTCACCAATGAAATGAGCATTCACAATCGATGATGTCGTCAATGGTTGTTGTTGTTGTGGTTGATCACTGTCAGTGTCAACTGTATTTGTTTGCACAGTTGTCAAAGTCGCTGATAAATTTCCTGTTCCATCATTTGTATATGGAACTTTCCACCATAATTTACATTCATTCGGGGACCTATTCATTGAAAACATTATAAATTAATTATTTTACAAACTAGAGCTCATTGTTTACCACTCGGCAGTCGGTAAAGATTCTTTAATTTCTTGCCCATCTGTAATTATCGTATAAAATATCACACAATCATTATGCAATCGCATTGAATCTGGTAAAGCTGAACTATTGAAACTATAATTGATATTCACTGAAATAGTATCTAATGTACGCGTCCAGTTTGATGATATTTGAATCGGAACGTTGGATTCTTCTGAATTTTTTACCTTAAAGAGATAGAAAATATAATAATTATTCAAAAAGAAAATATTCACGAACTTCATAAGTGAGCGCATTAAGATTAAAAAAAAGTGATGAAGGCTTCGTTTCTTGTAAATTTCGAAGTGTATTATTTAATTCTGTCATGTCAAACGTATAAATTAACTCATTGGAGTCTTTTAATGGCTCATTCCTATTCAATTAAATAAAAAGAACCAAAGCGAAAATCAGTTTTTATTCGTACTGTATTATTAATGAAGAATTTGTAGTTATGTTTTCAACATGTTCTGAATTTTTTAATCGAAACTGTAATGAATTTGAACTCTGTGATGGATTAACAAATATATTTAACATAGAAGCTGGAAACGAAATAAGTAGTTCACCAACAATTCTCTTTTTCCAACTGAAGAACAAATTAAAACTATTATTAGATCAACAAGAAAAAAGAATTTCATGTTTTACTTTTCTTGATTGTTTCCAGACATCATAGCATGGAATACTTCTTGGAACGCAATAGCAAGTGGAATTTGATCCAAATTGTCCTCTTGTAATGGAGAAGTTCGTTGCTCATTAGATGTTAGCGGACTATTGCGTAAGTTTGTTTGCGTTGAAGTTGTTGGTGAACTAGTAGCAGCCCATGCTAGATGTTCTTGCTAAATAGAACAAGAATAATAAATGAATCAAAGATTTAAATATCATTTTGCTTAAGAAACCAAGAAGGTTAATATATTCAACAAAGGATATAATAAGAGGAAGATTTTTGCAAGAAGTCGAAGAGGATTTCAATCAAATGCCAAAGAAAATACCGTCACATTGATTTCTATAAAAATAAGATAATCTATTGATAGTTTTATTTTTGTTAATATGAGAGATCATTCATATTTGAGAATGATGCTTATGTCGAATACATGAAACCTTTGTTGCAAAAATAGACTGAAAAATCAATTTAGACAGTTGGATAAAATCTAAATGTATCTCAACAATAATTTTAGTGATCAGATTCATGGCAACATGGCCTTAAAAATTGTATTATTGCGCTCATATCTCGTCTTTAGTTTGTATCGGCTATTTCTGATTATTCAATAAAGATTTTCGCATATTTAAGAAAACTCTAGAGTCGAACCGTTTGCATTCGTGCGTAAAATCGATAGCCGAAGCTCATTGATATGCGCTCGTTGAGTATAATTTAACATTTGACGGAAGAAATTCCGATCGGGTTTTATTATTTATATGAAATACGATGTGTACTTGATAAGAGCATTCTGACATCTTTATCGAATTTTCAATGAAATAAATTAAAAAAATCTATACCCACTGACGTTTTTCTGATTGAATACAGAAAGATTACTTCTAACATTTTAAGGAAAAGTGCAAGATAAATGGTAATTTGTATTTTGAAATTCTTACATTTGATTGATCTGTAGGAGGTACGTCTGAGGTTGCCAGTTCGGTTACTTTATTCATTGCATTATTATCAGAAAATGAATCAGATACTTCTGTATCATCATCAATAAATGTTATTGGTGTTGCATTGTTATCTAAAGAAAAGATTTAGAAAAAAATATATTTGACTGGATTTTTTATGTACTTTCGATTGTAGATAGCGGAGGGAAATCAATAGTTTCTTGATTAATGGAATTGGTGAACATTGAATTCTGAGCAGATCGATCAAACATATCATGCGGTGGAAACATACTTAATTGATCGATATTTTCTGTTGTTACACTTACACTATTTGGTGTTCTAGAACATTTATATTAAAAAATAGTAATGTCTTTAAAAAAAGAATCGGTTTCCTACGAAGTTGTACGTAATGGAATAGGTGGTGGTGGTGGAAGTATTCTCGTACTCATTTGTTCACTTGAAGATGATTTACTTATGTCTGCAGTTTTCTTTAACAAGAAAAAAAAAGAAAGAAAAATTTTTCATCTAAAATTTAATTTCATCAATTTACATTTGGCGATCCTTTTGAGGGTGTGAGCAAATTTCCAATATTTTTATCAATAAGACGCATAGCATTGACTATTTTCATTTCATCATCTATTTCTGGTACAGCTTCTGATTTCGGATTGATTTTAAACTCAATTTTTAATACTGGATTATCACTATCATCGTCATCACTTGAATCACTTGAACTTGACAATTTTGATGATCGAGATGTCACTAAACTATGACTGCCATGGCAATCCAGTTCATTTCTCAATATTGATGGATTCGTTGGAATATATGGTTCTGGTGTTGCCTATGAGCGATGAAAGAGAATAGAAGGAAACTAATTTGTATGATAAATATTTACACATTTGTTTTTATCAGTACGATGTGACGTGGGAATAGAACCATCGTCATTATCATATTTTGTGTTTAAGTCATTAGTTTCATCATTGAAAGTTGGTAGGTTAACTCCATTTGAGTCGTTACCTGATTGTTGAGCCTGAGATTTTGTACCAGGTTTAGTATTACTAGATGGTTTTTTTTCATCTTTCTTCGCATTTTTATCTCTACGATTTGTTCCGAAAAAGCCTAATACAAAACAACAGATTTCTTTTTGTAAATTTTAAAAAGAATCGTAGTATGCACCTTTAAACTTTGGTTTTCGTATTTTGACATCAAATGGATTAGCAACTTGATCACTACTACTATTTGAAGAATCTTGCGAACGAAGCATTTGATTGCCAGAAATCGTTGTATTGACTGTTGTTGTCGTCATGTTTGAAGTAGGAGATATGATTGGATTATGAGATGGTGAATGTGATTGATTAACAGTAGAATGTGGAGAAAATGCTAAAGAAGAGTAAAGGGAAGAAAATGAATTCTTTGGTTTTTTTTGTTTCGTTTCATTTTCTGCTATATTATTAAGCTGAAAAGTTTATTGATTAATTGAATAGTTAAGACAATAACCCAAGCATCCAGCAATAAAAATGTCGCATGAGAAAGTTATTTCTCTCTTCATATTTCTTTTTCTCGTACTGATAATATTTGCTTCACTGAATCCTTAGAGATGGGCATTATACAAACCGTGGAAAATTTGATGATGGTGATGTCGAGCTGAATCAATTTATTCGTTTATCAGAAAAGTATTGAAGAAAAGCAAAAATAGGAAAACGCGCTTTTTCTTACCACGATTATTATTGTCTACAGTTTTTGTGCCTGATAACGGCACAGTGAAATGAGCTTGAAACGATGGTACACCGGATTCTAGTTGATCAAATAAACTTGAGTCTTCGTGACTATTTGTGAAATCAGATATATTGGAATTTGTTGATGTTTTCAGATTATCAAGTTCTTCTAGTTGTAAAGTAGCTGTAAATATTAATCGTAGAGAAAATAATTAGTGATGCGAGAAAATAATTGTATCTTTTTTTTTTGAAACCTGGTCGATCTGTGCCCGTTTTCTTTTGTTCAACAAATATATCTAGTAGATCATTGCCAGATAATGATTTTAATTTATTATTAAATTCATTTTGCGCTATTGTTATTTGACCATTGTTTCGTTGAAAGATTTCCGAGTAATTCAATGAAAAAGCAAGTAGTTTTTCGATATGATTGATTTCAAAATCTTGAAATTTTGTACAAGCTGAAAAAATAGAGAAGAACGAAAATGTTTTATTTTCACAGAAGAAAATTTACTATCTTGAAAACGTTTTTCATATTCAATACGAATTAAATTATATTTATCAATTGTTGACTTATAATCATCTTGAGCAAGTCGATATTTTTTTTCTAAGCGTTCTAATTGTTTTAACGCCAATGAATGCATTGCAGATTGAGCAAGACTTGGCGAACTATTCTCTTGTGTTGCAGGTGCCGATGAATTATTTGATACGTTACTGTTAGCACGTTTAGCGCGTTCATAATCTGATGCGATCGAATGATATTGTTCTTTAGCCTTATTAACGATATTTAGTGCAGTATTTAAATGTGATATAAGATCTAATGTACGTGTTATATCTCCATCTTTTTGTATGTGCGCCTTAACTTTTTTCTGATGTATATCTTGATAATTATGAATATCACGTAATAATTCTTGGTAGAAATTCACTGTTGCTAAACGTGTTGAAGAAACTCTATCGAATAAATCACGTATTAAATTCCATATTGGTGTGAATGTGCCCAAATATTGAGCTTTGTGTAATTGTGATTGTAAACGAGATAAATTTTTACAATATGCTGACTCACATTGTATGCTAAACAAAAAGAAGAAAACAACATACCTTTGATGATAAATATACCGTACATAAAATGTCGAATATATACAACAATATGAATGAGCAAGTGAATTTTTATTATCAATTAAGTGGAAGTTATGTTTTCTTTTTTCCTTCTGTTAATATTCCTCAATAAACGTGATGAAACGAAAAAATGAATGTAAAGGAGTTTGCCGTTTTTGAAATCTTTTTGTAAAAACATTCAATAGTTCGACTTTTCTTTCTTGACTATGAAATAAATGTTAGGGGATTTTTTTTCTGATTTAAAATCATTGAAAAGCTTTTGCATAATATTAATGTTTACCTCATATCTTATTTTTTTGAATAATTCTACGAATAATTCGTAAGCATTAGAATATTAAATTGTTTATAATATCATTCAGCCTAATATTTTTTTCGTATCTTTCTCAATTTTTCTGACATTGTTTTGTGTATCGACATGCATAGCTGAAAAAAAACTTCAGTCCTACTATGCAATCGAGGAAGCATAAGCAATATCGTTTGGTATTTATATCAATTATTTTACATACCTTTCATTGATAAATCGTTGAAATTCTTCTATAGCTATTGCACCATTTTTAACATTACTTGAAAATATTTCTAAACCCCGGTTTCCTTCACCCCAAAAGTACTCACTCCAGTGAACCATCTAAAAATAGTTTAGCGAAAATACAGAGAAAAAAGAACGAAGAAGATATATTTCCTCTTCGACCAATTGGAAGACAAAACGCTACGCATTATAGAAAGGCTTTCATCGACTGTAGCGCAAAGCATTTAGTATGCACATAATATATATAAATATATATAAATATATATATATATAAGTATATCTATCTGGGTCTTTTTTTTTATCTCTAGCTCTTATCGTAGCTCGTTGTTTATGTTATGCTTAGCATTAGAAAAGAAGTAAACATTATTATGTTTTAATAAACTTATACTAAATGGCCGAAAAAAGTTCACGGGCAGTATCATCAGGAAGAACGGCTACTACATTAATGGCCTATGCACAATTAGAAATTGATAATAGTTCCACATGTATACCCAGGTAAATGTTACGAGAGATTTCTGTTTTTTTCTTCTAATAAATGAAAAACAATTTCTTTTTCTCGATTTGCAGACTGTGCAAATTCAGTATTATTCGTGTTGTGTTAAACAGAGCTATCGATGGTGGAGATTCAAATGCAATTGTTGTTGCTGTTAAAATACAAGTAAATATTAGATCTATGATGAGTGACTTGGATTAACCACAGTTGTTGTTTTTCTTCTATTTGGTTAGAATAATAAAAGAACATTTCGCTGTTGTGAAATATCTCTTCAACACGATGGAACATTAGATGCACCAGTTAGTCTACAATATTTAATTACTGTAAATAACACATAGTTCCTTCTTCTTTTTTTTTTGATAAAACAAATAAAATAACTTTTATTTTCTACATAGTATCCTCATTACTTCAAACGAGATATTAATAAGGTTCTCATATACATTCAACGACGGAAAAATCGCCCAATGATTGGTTATAAGACATTAGCACACGGCGAAGTTAATCTCAATGAAGTATGTTGGTGTATAAAATATGTATTAAAGTTTTCGAGACTTTCTATCGTTCGAAGATTTTTCTCATTAGTTCAACTATCTTTTTAAATTACGAAAGAAAACATCGTAATATGTTTACTCGTAAGTTCATTTGACATACATTAGCATAATTACTAACGAATAGAATACGCAAAAAACAACAACTTGCTCTTTAGACAGTAAAAAAAACAATCTTGTTAAGTATTTCAAAAATACTGCACTAATAGAATTATATTGATTAAGGAATATTGGTGCTGCGTAGTGAAGTTGAATTAATTCATTTATCAAATTTGATTAACACTAATGAAAAGTAGACAAAGAGAAAAGTCTTGTCTAGACAAGTTTTTCCAGTTGAAATTATTGCCGGTTTGTTTCATCAATATGAAAAGGAACTCTACTTCTACATTCAACTATACGAAAACTATGGATAGATTGATGAAAATAAAGCGAAGAAAAAAAAATACATTATTATACTTTTGTGATTTGTACCCAAATACAAAAAACATAATTTCATTTTCTACTCGAGAAAACATTCGCGTACTTTTGATGACATTAACCAGTAATCCCATGAGATTGGATTAGTTTTCATCGGTGAAAACTATTCAAGCGAATTTTTTAAAATCCCTTTCAGGTTATTCAACGTCCACAAAGTTTAGATTTGCATTTATATTTAAATACCAATGAAAAAGTCAAACAAAATCTACGTTCACTTATTCATGATGATAATTCAGTTGGAAACGTGGATGACATACAAAAGCGTTCTATTGGATATGTATCCATTGTATCATTATCAAGTACCGTCCCAACTGAATCAACTGATAATGCAGCAGCAACGTCAAATACAACAATGACACTTCCTAAATTTGGATTATCAACGAAGCGGCACCATCATCATCGTCGTGTGGGAGATTTAGGTAAGTAATAGTTTTAAAAGATATGTTTTTAAAAATATTTTAATGCTCTTTTCCTAGACAAATCCTTTAATGAGGATGATGAATATGTCGAAGAAGAAGAATTAAATTCTGAATTAGAAGATAGTGATGTTGAATTTAATCTAAAAAATAAACAACAAAAATTTAATACAAACGTAATACGAAATAAAATAATAAAAATGTTTAAAAGAAAAGCAAATCAATCAACTAGTAATCCAACTAGAAATACAATTATAGCAACACCGAATACAGCTAGTTGTTTATCTCATCAAGATCAAAGGTTCACATTTGATCGGCAATCTGATATTGAAGAAGATCAAATATCAGATTTAAGTGAAAGTACTATACCCGTTGATCAGTGGAGTATCGAATCTGTGCCTAAACCTGGTTTTACACCTGTTGAACAATTACAAGTACTTAAATTTGTAAGTCATTTTTTCAAAAATCCTCAAAATATCAATACTGTCATTTATTCATCATAAGTCCGAAGATGATCCTTATACGATAAGAAAGTCAACAAATCCATTTGACAGTAACGATAGTCCATTGGTAAGTTTACAAAATCAAATCTTAACACTTTACTCCATTAATTATATATAATATATGTTTTGAAAAAAAAAGGATTCGGAATCGTCCGATGTTATAATTGAGGCTGAGCGAACAAGTATTCAGCCTCCAATATCAATATCAACACCAGAAGAAAAATCATCGCGTTCCTATACAACGGTGCGTCTGAGTTTGAATACGTTTTTAGTTTTTTTTTCAATTAATTCATTGTTTTTTTTTGTTGTTGATTATTTAGTCTCCTCGTGATAGTGTTGTTAAACAATTAGATGAACTCTATACAAATGATCGTCTTCCAGACACTGTCATATGTCTTTATACTGGAATTAATCAACCTAATGTATCTTATCGCCTTTTAAATTTAAATTTAAATAATTAGTTGTTTTTTCTTAAATTTTTATAGATAAATGCAACAAAATTTAAAGAATATAATCTATCAGTTATTTCGCTCTCAACTTTTGTTGATGCCAAAGCTGTTTTAAATAATTTGATTCAAAGAATTCAAAAAAAGTTTGAATAGATTTTAGTTAAAAGAATATACTTACTTCATGTTATTTTCTTATTAGTACAAGTCAATCACAACAAATCTCCGTTATACGTATTGTTTTACTTGGCAGTGACGCCTTTGTTAATGCATTTCTTCAATCTTATGTGGAATGTCTTGCATCAAGACCCCATGAATATATGAATTACTTCCGTTTTTATTTTGTTCCATTAAGTAATTAAATAGATCCAACAGTTTTTAATGATTTAAAACCACTCGTATTTTGCATTTTCTAGTTTTCTCCTACTTGGCAAAATATCTTGGAAGTTTAGATTCTCAATACGGGTCATTATTCAGTAGCATGGAATCTTCTAGTGAAATGATAGGTAAAGAGAATTGTTCAATGAAAAATCATTAAAAACAAAAACATCTTTTTGCAATCGTTTAGATGCCAGAGAATTATCGCAGAAGATTACAAGATATTTAAAAACATCTCAAAGAACACTTGCGTTACCTGTTGGTGAAGTCATGCTGAATCGAAAAGGGCGTTTGTAAGTTTCAATAATGATTCTTTTAAGAGTTCCTTAAATGCTCATCAGACTAGATAAAAGTAGTTGACAATAACACTTGAAATCGATTTAGATCACTTAGAAAGCACTCTCGTTCTATTAATACCAGTTATTTAAAATCACTTTAAAGTTTATTAATAGAATAATCAGCGTGCACGTCATGTCGTGCAATTGTGAGTCGTTCTTTCTCCTGCTAGTAAATGATTTTAAATAAAGCACGACGCATTCATCAGATTCAACTAATGAAATTATTATTTCAATATCTTCAAAAACAAAACAAAAAAAGAATTGATGTATTTTGAAAACCATATGCATAGAAAAAAAATCCAACATTTTAAAGAAAGCATTGCAATTTAGGTTGGAAAGTATTTTAGAGTAGTTTGGTTTATTTGAAATTATTTCTCGTTTTCTTTGATCTTGTGTTTCTATTTTGGTGTACTTATATATTTTGAAGTACTCTATTTTCGTTGAATTATGAGATCAAGCGATAAAAGTGCAACTTGATACGCCTTCAACTAAAACATATGCTAGATTTTACGAGAAGATATATGTGGAAAACTGTATCAACTCAGTTTTCATTTATATTAATAACAAAAAACGAAATATTATATTCTCTTGCCAAATAATTTCTATATTGTGGACTTTGATATAGTTACTTTTGTTATCCTGTTGAATTTCTACGCTACGTAAGAATGAGAGAAGAGATAAATGTTGAATTTATTAAATATGAAAGACACACTACAGATATAACACAAAAAAGATTAGACGAATCATTTTTCTTTTGTAAAAGCAGAAAAATTAATTAAAATTGATATCACATGTGTAAATGAAGATTTTAATCGTTCATATTTCATTTGGTCTAACTAGAATATATTACTATTACTATCTGTGTTCGTTTTGTTTTGATCATCTTGTTCATATTACAATAAAGATTGTACTTTCCTAACGGTTTATTTCTTTAACTATATTTATCTGTGTGTTTAGACCGGATGAAGATTCAACACCAACATTTTTACCATTCTTTTGTGTAAATAAACTCCATCGTGTATATTTTTGTTTATTAAAATTTTGATAATTTTTAGTATGTTCGTCTTGGTACACTATCGTCAACATCAAATGAAAGTCAAACATTATCAATTGATGATAATATTCTATTATCGAAATCTTTATCTCTATCTTTATCAACGAATCCACAGCGTGAATCAAAAGATTCGTCGGATGAAGATACTCCAGCAGCAATGTTACCATCATCTCCTCAATTGAAAATTACAAATATTATAACAAAAAGTTCACATGGAGATGAATCCATTTCACCATTTGATATATCCGTTGATTATTGGACTATAGTTAGCAATAATAATGACAATCAAAAAGATAAAAAGGATGGAATAAGAACAATAAAATCATCCTTGAAATCGAATATTCGCATATTAACGATAACAAGACAAGCAACAACAAATTTAGATGGCAAAGTTTCATCGCCGTTAACCATGACATATGTAACAAGAGAGAAAAAGCAAAAAAGTAAGTGTTTGAAAGCTTTTGTCTTTATTTAAAAGTAAAAATTTATTCTAAACCATTTCATCATGCCACAAATAAACATGAGTTTTAATCTTAGCTGGATTAGATATCATTGAATTTTTATCTTTCGACAGCCATGAATTCATTGATGTAGTTGACATTCGTTTGTCAAATTTATTCAAATATTGACCGTATAAATATCTTATTAGTAGATAAATTAATGTTAGAATAAACGCAATAGAACTCGAAATTAATAATCCTAACAAAACTACGATTAGAGTTTTTCCAAATAAATACATTAACTTTTGTAATCTATTCATGGGAAAATCACGACGACATGTATCATCGTAGGCAGCATTTTCACGTTTAACAGGCAATTGATAGACCATACGAATTGCTCGTATGTCGTCATGGCACAGTATGCGATATGTTGAAAAATGCATGATAGATTGCATGTGTTCATTGGGTGGAGTTGGATTAAGAGCATTTGTTGTATGCTGAATAATAAAAGAACAACATGCGCATAAGTACTTAACGAATCTATGTGTAAATTTTCAGCTCATTACAGGTAGAATCCATTGAATTTGAAATAAAAAAACATAAGCAAATCAATTCTGTTTCGAAAATGTATTGATCATATTTAGATTTTCTGTTTTAAATTGCTAGTTATGTTTTTCCATCTGCGAAGTAAGTTTAATTAAGTAGTAAAGACTTTCATACGTGTGGATGAACTAAATATAGAATCAATAGTCTATGTCAGATCGAAGAGTCTTTGTTCCCGAGCATGTCGTTCTCATACATCACGATCGCTTTTGGAACTGTGTCTTCGAACATTGTAGTTTTCTTTTGTATATTTCAACGTGTTAATGTTTCTTAATCTACATGTTTTCATGTCGGCTCGTTGCATGCTATCTATCCGAAAGCAAGAGAAATGAGCAGCAGAAACTACGAGTTTCTCGGGGAATTCGGCATCTTGAATTTGATCAATCAATCAATCAATCAATAGTCTACAATAGTTATAATTAATTCGCATATGAATTAATGATTACATTTCGGATCCAAAAAAAACACAACACACACGATTCTAATATACATAATTGAGCTTGTGAAAGACCTCACTACAGTCTCATTTATAGCATTTTAAATAGGTGTCACAAGCTTCTCATTGCCTTTTAACGATTCGTTGACAAACGAACGTGAACACACTTAAAACTAATTACATATTTTTATCGATCCCAAGATCTTTATACATTCATGTCTAGATCTCTATGTAAGACTATGATGCATTTTGAATTCATAGGAATTACTTATGCAAGTGGTAGTTTCAGTTCTACAACGATAAGGTAACATGGAGAAAACAAGAAAACTATTATTAAGTTTAAAATGAAAATTTCCAGGAGTCTAATTTTCGAATGATTGGCAAAGCTTAAATTTGTCTTCATAATTTGTTAACTCATGCATCTATCCTTTCAACAGTCATTATCAAAATAGAAATGATTTATATCTTAAGTAAATTTTATTCTCAAAACTATGTTCTTGATATCAATCTCTGTTATGAATTCTACACAAACGAATCGGAAAATTTATAACTATGAAAAATCTGATTTACGCTCTTTTTCTAGTCTAGAAGATTTAAATGAACGAAAGACAATCTATCTACGGACAAAAAAAGAATAGATTGAATGTAAATAATTACTTCAATACCAAATCCATGTAATGTTTCATGTAGTAAAACAAAATATGTATCAATTTCACATTCATTTGTTTCCTCAATGCATGTATATATAGCTGGATCATAAACAAGATCATCTGAACTAAGAAATTTTTGTTGCATATTCAATTTAATTGTTGAGATTGGCCTATCATTTTCTACGAGATGTATTCCACCATGCGCACGATATCGACTTTCTTTAGTTACATCAACTGGATAGATATCGAGTGATTCTAATATTTTAATATTATCAATATCCGCCTCAGACACATCATCCGTAGGACATTTTGTATAATCCAAAAAAGTAAAATGAAAATTTGCTTCGCCTGGATCCGATGCTTCTTTTATAATTATATCTTTATCTATAACGTTGTTAATTTGTTGAATAATATCTTTTATACAACGATGAATATAACTAGTGTTGATTCTATTTGGATAGAAGTTTGCAATCCAATAAACGAATTCTCGTGGATTATGTATGTAACGCCAATCGTCTAGATAAATTTGAAATTCTGGAAAAAGAACAAAACGTTTTTTTCTTGTTTGATTTTTTATGTTTGGAAAAATTTGATCAACTGCAGTAGTATGCTCTGTACATCTTATTTGATAATCGGATGCATCTCGTTTAGAACGTTTTAAATGGCTCTTATTTGAGTTAGTACATTTAATTATAATAATAAACAAAATACATAAGTAAATAAGAAGATCAACAGAAGATTTGAATAACATTTTTTTTTAAATAAAACTTTTCGTTTCTATGCATATTCGTTTTTTGTAGTTATGAAATTTGGTAAAAAAATGAAAGATTTATCAAATGCTAAAGTAGCTGAACCTCAAATTATAATGGGAATCAATCGTCTCGTTTGTACATCAAAATCACATAATGTAGAATTAAAAGGTAAATATATTACATTTACAACTAAATCATAAATAAAATTTTATGTTCAAGTGAACGTTGACGGACAAGAATGGAGTAATGTTAAATTCTTTCAAATCTCATCCCAATGGCATACACATATCAAACATTTTCCATTGGCAATTTTTAATTAATTACCGCAATGCTTATTTTTTTTTATTCATAGATTCTAGTCATTAACTTTCTGGTATAATATTTGTCTGTTAATCTTACAATGTTTTGTTATAACTATCGCATATTTCTGTAGATTATATAGAAGCAAACGCTGCTTTTTTAATCGCATTTTGAATGGCTTATAATACTTAGTCTTTTGAGAATAGTTTCGAAGTTTATATTTTGTGCCTTTGTAAATACTTGTATTAAAACGAAAATAATACTATACTATTACAAATTGTTGCTTTATCATCTTTTTCTTTCAGATCTATATTGTAATGTTTTGTAGTAAAGTGAACTTCGCCATGAGTTCGTAACTGATGGGAAATCGTAGAGTAAGTTTCATCATGTAACTCAAAAGGGATTTCAGTATTGAAATAGCATTGTAAACATCTATTTTGTTCAATATATTTTTCATTAATGTACAATATAATGATCATCATTGTGTTTAGAGTATTACTTAACGAATAAGGGCTTTGAGTGTTTTCTTTTTTTGTCTCTTTCTTCTATTTGATATTGATCGGTTTTCTTTGTTTTGACTGTCATTTCTATGACAATCGTTTCTTTACATTTTACTGTTCGCATTCGAGTAGATAGAAGGAAATAGCTAATTTATTTCCGTTATAAATAAAAGGTAAAATATGGCGGGCACTAATGACTATTTCCGTCATTCATTTTTGAAACATTTCTTCGAATCAGTAACTTTCTAAAATCATGCATTGTATGCCGATAGGTTGCATCATACAATTTGAAATTTAAAAAAGAATACAATTCGATGTAACATTCGTATCAAGTTATTTCCAAGAAACTACTGAAAATATTTAAAAGCAGCTAATCTGTGTAAAATCAATATTTAACCAAATATTTTTGAAATTTATTATATTAACTGACGAGTGAATCTAACTAACTTATAGAAGACGATATGATGTTTTATACGTGGGTTTGACATCATAACAACAATATTCTGTATAAATACTTTTCTCAATAGCATATATGTCAAACTTGAAACTTGAATCCAATTAAAAATTGAAAATTTCAATTTTCAACTTTTAAGTCAATAGCATTTTGAAGAATCGTGACTCATACATATATCGCTATGAGTTGAAAGTTGAAAGTTGAAAGCTGAAATTTTCTATTTTCAACTGAATTCAAGTTTGACACTACTGCTCAATAGCAAACATATTTTTCTTCTGTAATACAAAACATCTGTTTTTTTATACAAAGATGATAAAATACTCGTAGAGGACGAATAGTTTCAAGTAACTATTTGAGTTTTATACGATTATTTGTAGAATAAGATGTTTTTCTCGTGGACTAATTTCACGTAAAGAAATTTCGAAAACTTTTTGAATCGTGTGAGCACGTTTAACAAGTCCGTTGCCTTGAAGAGAAAACAAAAACAGCCATTTTTTAAACTACGACGATGTTCTTGTGAATAGATAATTTGAAAATTTGCTGGTAGAAGCTTATCATGTGCTTGTCAGCTAAAGTCTATAATATGCAGCTAATTATAATGAATGATAGATATTCATCATGTTTGAAAATGTTCTGCTGTTAAGGTTTTTGCTAATGCATTCTTCGAAAAATCTATGTAATGAAATATTTATTATGTAAGATGCACACTTACGTTGGTATCAAAATTAACTTAGACTCTTTGTTTGTTTTATATGCTTACTCATCTATGACTGGACGACTAGTAGAAAATAACTCTAGCGCTTTGATAATATATTCTATCTAGAATTTTTCTATCGAATAATGTTGCAATACTATTGACACACAAATTGGCAAGCTTTTATAATCATATCATTTTTACATCCCTCTCTCTCTCATTTTTGATGAGACAAATGTATTTCTGTATTAATATTTGAGTTGTAATTTTATTTTTCATACAAAATCAGAATAAAAGGATGAAAATTCTGATAAATTAATTCATCTTTTCACTATTTTGTTCAAGATTTTTTTATTGTCTTCCGGCCAATGATGGGCAATAAGATAATATTTTTCTTGAGTTATATTCTTTTGAAAATTTCAAATGACGTTCATGGTCAACAAATGGAACTTGTAGCTGGTCATGTAGTAAGTCAATGAATTGAAATTTGTTTTTTGTTAAATACATTATCTTGGGAATATTATAGATATTTCGACATGGTGATCGAACACCTGTAACAACATTTCCAACCGATCCAGTAAAACCAAGTGACTGGCCTAATGGGTATACTATTTCTAAATATTACTTATAACATATATATCAAGTAACATTGATTCAATCTAGTTTGGGTCAATTAACCAGTACTGGTATTGAACAACATCATCGTCTTGGTGCATATCTTCGCAATCGTTATGGATCATTACTTAGTTCGAATTATACTGCAAGTGAAATTACTATTCGTTCTACAGATCTTGATCGAACATTAATGTCCGCGCAATCGAATCTTATTGGTCTTTATCCAATCAATGCTACTGATAATAAAGTTCCCATACAACCAATTCCAGTTCATACGGTTCCAACTAATCTTGACTTTGTATAACAAAAGTTCAAATTACGATAGAACAAGAAGTTGCTACGATTATTTTTTTTTCAGTTACTTGGTGTCAGTGATTGTCCAAGATATGATCAAATTGAAGTTGAAGTTGACCAAAGTGAAGAAGTCAACAAAGTTAATCAGTATTATCAAGTAAAATTATTTTTTCGGCAATTTTTATTTGAATATTTCTCTTCTTTCTTTTTTTTTTATCTATAGGACTTCTTTAAACAGCTTGAACTATGGACAAATATGACTAATATAACAGTATATGATGCTTGGGTAGTTGCTGATACTATATTTGTTGAAGTAAAGAATAAGAAAGAATGATTGAATAGATGTATGTCACTTGATTATTTTGTTTTTCTTCTATCAGCACCTTTATAATAAAGCTCCAGCATGGGCCAACGATGGTGTTCGAAAAAATTTATCAGACATCAGTGATCGTGCATTTCATTTTCTATTCGAAAATAATGATACAAAACGAATTCGAGGAGGTTCGATATTTTTAAAATAATATTCAACGGAAGTAAAAAAAAAGTCGTATTTATTTAGGTCCAGTAATACAAGATGTATGGTTAAATATGAATAGTTCACTGCATGCAAAACCATTTAAAAAAGTCAAGATTTATTCAGCTGTATGTCATAAAAATATTTTGTTTTGTTTTTGATTGACAGCATAGTATATATTTAGCATGATACAACTGTCAGTGCAATTCTTTCATTTCTTGGTATCAATTATCCTCATCAACCTCAAGTAAAATTTAAACAGAAAGACTTATTTTATCGCCGCATCAAAATTTTGCTGTTTTATTTTTAGTATGCATCTGCTATATTTGTTGATCTCTATCAACAAAGTAAAATTTTAATAATTTGTATTTAGCAAAACAAATTATTATTATTTCTTTTTGTGTTGTCAGATTCATCATATTTTGTTAAAGTTGAATATTTGAATGTGACAGATTCAAATGCATCTTATGCGTACGTGTTAAATGGTTGTCCTGCAGAAGAATGCCCGTTCGATAAATTTACGAGCATTTATCAGCCGATTTTTCCAGCTACTCCAGATGTTGAATGTGTTAAAAAAGAGCCTCCAATGCCACCTTGTAAATAAAAATTTAATCACATAGGATTTATTTCATGTTTTCTTTGTTTAGCCGGCGGAAATAAAAAATTAACAGCAATTTTAGCCGTTGTGATTACTGTTCTTATTATTATTATATTTGTGATGTTTTTATGCCTTTATTTACGAAAAAACGATCAAGATCCACAACTTTTGGGTAGTGCTCGATCAATACAATCATCAGTTTAATTTTCATTGTGAATGCTATGATGTGCAATATGAACTTTATCTTTTATTGACTAGAAAAAGGGATATTTTATTATCATTTGATTCATTTTATTTTTGTTGGATTATTTTTAAGTTATTTTTTTTTCCATTGTGATTTTCCTTAACTAAGTAAACGATCATCGAATTATTTACAATTTTTTGTACAAAACAATTAAAGCATAGATCCAACAAATTCATAATAAATTTAAGAAGAAACAAAAGGGATAGTATCGATTCGTTTTGTCGATCTTGCTGCGTAGAGTACTGCCTGATACAAAATTGAATAGCTCAAGATTTTCTCTAACACTGAGATTGACTGAAACTTTAGACACATAGTCTATTGGATTTGAAAGGTCTATAGTCCTATTCATACATTCTAACGAACTACTAACGTAATAGTAATTATGTTTTGCCGCAGTTGGTACACTGAAAAACAAGAAATATAAATGATTGCTAATAAACTGCGTTGCTCCATTTCATGACGAGTGACATAAAGGTTTATATACACCATTTTGATGATATGTATGAAACACGATAACTACTCAATTAAAGTAACTATAGATTTTGAATCGATCCATGCATAGGATTCTTGATTTTCAAATGACTTATATTATTTTTGCAAGACAGACATAGTAATGCTTTATTTCAAAAGTTCAAAAATGTTGTTTTTTTGTTATAGATGTGACGCACCACGACAAGTAAAATCTTACTGATGACACTATCTCTTACTAAATCCAATATGTAAATTTCATGTCAAATGCAAACTTTGAACTTATTGCATCTTTCATTGAAATAAAAACCATAAGCACGACTGAAACTGACATTTAATTTATTAGATTTCTTAATATCTCTTATGAAATGCATTTGCTCAGTTCGTCTTCTTATTTCGATTCTTAAGAAAAAAGATAAAGTTCATGAAGTTTCATAAACAAAAGTGTTGAGATTGCTTGTAAAACTGGTCAATTTTAATCTATTGTTTTCATTCAACAGGATAGAAGCTTATTTGTGATGCAAAACTTACAGCAGTATTATTAATTAATGAAAAATATTTCTACTTACATTGAACATTCAATATGTTTGTCAAAAAAGAAGCATGCATAATAGAATTTTCAATTGAATTCAAATATATTAGAACGATAGTGTACATAGATCGAATTGTAAATATTGATACTCTCTACCACCATAAAATTCATTTTAATTATCTTTTATTGAAAATTTTTTTATAAGACGATCGTCCTATCTATCATATATAGTCATCAATTAAATTAGAAAATTATGTTGTTAAACATTCTAATCTAAACACTTGTTGATGCATCATAAAATATGAACTGTCCTATAGATATTTGTCTACGATAAGGTATGATTGAACAGCATATTTTATTATAGATGACATATTCAATTTCTACTCTCTTATGATATACCGCAATAAAAAGGAATGAAAGAAACTGTTTGTTGATAGATCAGATTCTATTGATTGAAAACAATAATACTCTATTCAACAATATATTTGAACTCATAAGGTTCAGTTCAAATAATTCTCTTCTCATATATTATACATAGATTCGAATGACATGAGTGTTAGTTCAAGATTAGAATAAATTTATATACGAACAAGTCTACCAAACTTTTCACGCTATCTGTCATTTTCTATTGAACACTATTAAACTTTGATGAGTGAAAAATATTTATGCATTTACATTTATGAAAACGGTGTTATTTTTTTAATCAAAATAGAGCATGAATAACGTCAAATGTTAAAATTACCATCACGATTTACTATCCCACGTTTGCGTAGCTATATATATTATCAGTTTAACCCACTTGTTAAATCATACTTTTACTACTTGTGAATATTTCAAGTCAAAAACAACTGGAAATTATCTTGTACGTCGAATTTTATCAAATCACTCTAAAGACAATAGAACTCTTATAAAAAAAAATGATAAATAAGACACTTTCTCATAGAAATTCTTTATCTATTGAGCACATCATCAATGATTTTTGTTTAACAAATCAGTTAGCTGTGGCAAAGTCAGTTGACTTCTGCTTGATTAAGCAGAGATCTCGTTTATTCTTCAATGCGCGGAGAAGAGAAAATGACAACGGCGACGTAAAAGAAATGCGACGAAAAAGAAGAAAAAAAGCCGAAGAAGCAATCACACACTATTTGCAGATAATTCAATTTTAGGCAGAGGTAAAGGAGAAAAGTAGTGAGACGAACCGGTTGAGAAAACAAACAAAAACACAAAATATAGAATAATAGAAGGGCCATCATCAAAATGAAAAGATCAAGAAATTACATAAACATAAAGATAGGGGCAAACAAACAAAAAAGCGAAGAATACTTGACGAACTTTATTGTCTGATCCATTCTTATAATAAACTTATTCGTATTAATTTCTAACCATTGTAGTATATCTCTACCTTTGCTAATCTATGTTACTAATCATACACAGTGTAACATTGGCAGAGACAAAAAAAGTACGAACAACGCAAGATCGATTGTTCTAATTTTATTGTCTTCTTTCGTATTTTATCTTGGAAAAAAGGAACACGCCAAAAAAAACCGAAAAGAAATATAGAAAAAAAAAGAGAAAGAGATACAAGAGAGAAAAACCAACCAAACAAACACTCGTGCTCAAAAAGAGCGTAGTCAGCATTTACAAAATCAAGGTCCGAAACAAACACAAGAAACGCGCATGTCGCCGACGAAGATGTTTATTAATGAAAACAAGAGAGAGAGAAACAAAAGGGCGCAAACAGATAAAAAATAATATGTAATTGTATAGTTTTTCAAAAGCAGTGTGATGTAAATGAAGGAAGACAAATGACACGCAAAGGAATGTAGAAAAAAAAACATATTTTAACACGCCAAAAAAAAGACAATAAACATATTCGATGATAACGAAGACAAATGAAAAAAAATTGAATGTTTCTTTTTGCTTTTCTAATGTTCGTATATTGAATAAAATATTCATCTTTGTTTCTTTTCCAGAAGTGAATTTAAACAGGGCTTTGCACTGTAATCAGATGATAATACACATAGAGAAAACACATACGCATACAAGAGAGAATATAGAAGATGAAATTGATGATCACGAAAACGGTGGGATTAGAGAATAGCAGGCATGCATAAAGGAACAAAAAAAAACAAAAAAAAAAAGAAAACGAAAGTAATGTACATTCGACTTGATGATGTCTAAATAGTTAGTAATTATTTGTTGAAAAATAATTTTTTTATGTTCATCATTACCGATTGAAACGAAAGAAAGAACATTTTAAAGACCATGAAATCCATTGGTATACGGTGATGTCAATAGTGATGCCTAGAAACAAACTGCATATAAGTTATTAGATATAATAGAATATTTTCTTTTTACAGCTATAGGCAATCCTGGTGTTGGACTTGTTGGCTGTAAATATTGTGCAGCTAGAGGATCTGCTTGAAAAAAGTCGAGTCCATTTCCACCTAGAGAATGAGACATTCAATTAATTTATTTTGAATTTATTTTTAAGTAAAAATTCTACTTCTTTGTAATAATGAATCACGATGAAGTTGACCACCTCCACCCGGCATAGGTTGTGGTGTTAATGGATACTCAAAATAGCGTTGGTCACCAGCTGGTGTTAATGTTGGTGTTTGAAGTCCAACAGCAGCTGGAATATAACTTATTTGTGCTGATGGTAAACCTATTCAAATAAAACTTTATTTCATTAACTCGTGTTTTTTCTCTCAAGTAAATAAACGCCATGTTTTATTCTATATCTCATGCAAATACAACAAAATCGATGGGAATAATAAATGAATAAATAAAGCTGACTTTCGTTAGATTACTAGGTCTATAATAACTAATACGGAGTAAAGAAAAGAAAGGAACTTTGGAAATGATTAGCTTTTATATACGGACCAGAAAAAATCAGAAGTCATGCGGACATGCTTCTAATTGAAGAAAAGAAATTTTCTCTAACCAAAATATGTTAGATGCTGCTGCATTCGTTGCCCGTGTTGTTGTGAACTATAAGGCAATATCGACAGCTGATCGACTAATTAGATAATTAATATACAAGAATGAATAATAATAATAATAACAACTAAAAAATTTCACTTTCGTTTTTTTCTCTTTTGTTTTTAACGCATACTCCTCATCCATCAGTTAAAGATACATTCCATCTACAAAAGTGCGAACACAAAAAATAAATCACACATAGAAACTACTCTCATCTACGAGAGAATATTTAGAATAACGAGCAAATATATACATATATATATATGTACATATATATATATACCTAACATATTACGAACTACAATTATTTATTTTATATTTATATATATATATATATTCTATCCTATCTTACTTCAAACTCAAAATCTACGAATGGATAATAACACATACAAATAATTTATATTTCTTCTCTTTATTTATTAATATGAATAACTCGTTGATATTGCTGAAAAGATTTTCTTTTGTATGCAAATTAATTTTTTCATCTTTGTGCATACCTGGCGAAAATGGATATATAGGTGTAGCATATGTTGTCGGAATACTTCGATTAAGACCATAAACATAAGCACCTGAAGGTAAAAAATAAACAGAGGCATAGATCTTTAAAATAAAGATCGATCAAAAAAATTATTTACTGAGTATATCACCATAGGCACCACGCTGTAATGCTGCTTTGCCTTTAGCCATTTGTTGAGCATACATAACTTCTTTTGGTTGAGCTTTTTTACATTCCACCTTTAGAAAAACAAATATAGATATGTAGATATATTTCTTTTTTTTTAATTAAATATTTACCATTTTGTTGTTAATTTCATGAAAATGAATGGCACACACTTTATCAACAACATCTTCAGATTCCCAAGTGACAAAACCAAAACCTGATTTAGTTATAAAAAAAAAAGGGTTTAGTAAAAAAACTTGAATGATAGTAAAACACAAAAAATCATACCTCGATGACGTGCAGTTTGTTTATCAATCATTAGCATTGCATCTTCTACCTGAGGAAATAAAACAAGATTACATTTTTTTTCTTCCCAATTAAGCTCTTTCATTTTTATTTACTTTTCCATATTGTTCGAAGTATTTTTTTACATCTTCAACAGTTGTATTGGCTGAAAGTCCACCGACAAAGATTTTTTTAGTTCGTGTCACCATCTTAAGAAGGAAGTACGTAATATTTAATGAAAAGAAAAGAATGGATGATTGCTCCTACACACATACGCTATTTACTTGAGGATTTACGGATCTCACATGTAGGTGTCTCTTCATCATCTTCTCTTTTCTCGCTGTGTTACTTAATATAGGCATAAAAAAACGTATAGAAGGTATTTCAAAAAAGACGACTCGTTTTTTGTCATCCGCTCGCCAACAATCAATCTGTTACATTATCGATGTAATGAACCTTGTCGCCTTCGTCGTCGTCGACGTCATCAACATATGCAAAAATCGCGGAAGCAAAAAACATAGTCTATTCTAGCACGATGTCAAAGTAGTAATAGCACCAGTTTGTACGAACGATCGAAATGTAGAGAAATAAATGTCGCTATTAATGCTTTAGGGCATTATCATTTTGTGTTTAATTAGGGAGGAAAGACGACAATAACTGAATCAAGATTTTTCTCAATACTAGTACTATCGATCAATCGTCAATAACAACGAATAGTTATTGGCTCTCTCTTCTCCTTATATTCATTTAATTATACGATCGAAGTCGTTTTCTTTTCCATTCTTATTTTATATTCAAATTTTTTCGGTAGTATTTGACCTTTATAAACAAAAAATCCGAGAAAAGAAATGATTGTCCACCTCACTATTATTGGTAGTTAGAAGAGTTCAATCGATATAAACAAAAATGTTGATTATGGTGATGATAAGGATTAAAACAAAATAAAGAAAGATGAAGAAGAAGAGAATAAAAGGGTTCAATCACTATGGGTATTGTATATGTCACTAGGCGAAGGTTAGCCAAATAGACATATGATGAGTGTATGCATATACATACGCACACACACACGCACGCACACATACGGTGAAGATAAAAGTCATTTCAATCAGTCAGTAAATAATAAAAAAAAACTAAAGATGACGAAAAAAAACGGAATCGAAAATAATGTTCAATCTTAACTTACATCATTTGACGACGAATTTTTGTTTTGAGGAATATTCGAATTATGAATCGTATTATTTATAAGATTATTATTATTATTATTCGTATTATTATTATTAGCGGCGGCTGCAGCAACTGCGGCCATAGCTTGTTGTTGTTGAACAATTTCGTTAGGATCCAAAAGTATATAGGTGGCCATGATATCGATTATTTGTGTATATATATATATATAGAGCACAAATCAATTATTGTGACGACTGAATCTATATATATATCGCATGTGCACTGTGCGCTTCGGTATATGTGTACATTCGTGCGAACAAGTGAGCGGGATGGATAGAGAAGAACGAAATCTATCTTCTCTTTCTCTCTTTTTCTTATTCTTCCTCTAGCTCACTCGCTCGCTCGCTCTCTCTCTCGCTCTCTCTCTTGAACGGAGAAGAGAAAAAGTTTGAAATTCTCTCTCGTTCGCACATACACTACTTATTGCTCTCTTGCCTATATACTTCTACTATCGACAGCACATCGTCCTATGAAATTTTAGAATCGAAGAGTCAAACGAGCCGAGAAGACGACGGCAACGACAATAGAGAGAAAAAGAGAGAAAGATGTAGAGCAAGAGAAAAGAAGAAAGAGAAACCCATAAGATGGACAATGATGATGTTAGTGACTGAAAGAACGAGCAGTGGCGTTCATCGTGCAGAATTGAACGATACAATGATGGATGGTTGGACTTCACTGAAGGGTCAGGGAAACAAAAGAACGCTTATGAGAATGAGTTCGTTGTCAATAGCGTAAATTGCACTTTCATCTCTTTCTTTCTTTGTATGAATTGAAAAAAAAAAAGAATTTTTTATTTTATACATCGACCGACCACTACTATCGTCTCGACAATTGACCATCGCCGACGGTTAAAGGTTATCAATCACGATAAAATTCTTTCAAGTTAATTTTAATAGAAAGAATTATTTGACAAAACAGAAAAGAGAAAAACGGTCTGTTCTCTTTTGAAATTTCTACTTCTTCTATGTAGTGATTTTAGTCTTTGAATGAGTTTACTTGTTGTTCATATATATAGAAGAAAAACAATGATTATTAATAATGATGATAGGTATATACTAAACGTACTACTACTGTGTGTGTGTGCTACTTGTCTGCAATACAATTGTTACTCTAGCTTTGTTGTACTTTGGTGAGAATTGTGTTGATAGAACGCGAAAGAATGTTGTTATGCTGGTGTAATCAATCCTTCAATTAAATTGGTCTCCTTTTTCTTGGGGGGGGGGGGGGGGGGGGGGGGGGGGGGGGGGGGGGGGGGGGGGGGGGGG